CAGTGGACGCCGCCGTAGAACAACAAACCGTGTAGATCGCCGCCTAAGATTATTGGCCTTAAGGGACCGTTTCTCCACTACCAGGACCATTGCAAATGAATGGTTTGCAGAAAACGGAAGACCTCTTGGCATGCGAAGTGTTTACTGACGAATGAGAAGTTTTGGCATGTTTTCATACCGGCCACACTGGGTCCTCCCTTTAACTCGAGAACACCGACGTAATCGCCTTGAGTGGTGCAGACAACGGTCACTCTGGGATCAGGAATGGAACAGTATTGTCTTTAGTGACGAGTCTCGATTTTTTTTAGGCATGCACGATGGTCGTACCAGGGTTAGAAGGCGACGTGGTGAAACGAGGAATCCACAGTTTTTTGTTGAAAGACATGTTCATCACACTGTTGGAGTTATGGTTTGGGGTGCTATAGCTTATGGTTCCAGGTCACCTTTAATCTTCATCAGAGGTAACATGAACGTGCAGCGTTATATCCACGAAGTTCTAGAACCCCATCTTTTACCCTATCTTGACACCCTGGCAGATCCAACTTTCCAACAAGATAATGCCCGACCACATGTTGCAAGAGTCACAATAGACTTCTTTCAACATAATGATGTCACATTGTTACCATGGCCACCAAGATCACCCGACTTATCCCCAATTGAGCACGTGTGGGATATGATGGGTAGGAGATTGCTCAATTTGCAACGTCCTCCTCAGACTCTAGAAGCACTTCGAGAGGAGTTGGTGGTTGCCTGGAATGAGATACCACAGGAGGACATTGACCACCTGATCAGAAGCATGCCTAGGCGCGTTGGAGAATGCGTAGCACATCAGGGTGCATCCACACATTATTAAAGGTCAAAGGGCTTTAAAGCAGTGCAATCATTTTTAAATTTTTATCATTTACTTATTATGCTTCATTAAGTACTTATACAAAATTTTATTAAAATAAAACCATATAAACTGGGTGTCTGTCTGACTCTGTCTCTGTCTGACTCTGTCTCTGTCTGACTCTGTCTCTGTCTGTCTCTGTCTGACTCTGTCTCTGTCTGACTCTGTCTCTGTCTGATTCTGTCTCTGTCTGACTCTGCCTCTGTCTGACTCTGTCTCTGTCTGACTCTGTCTCTGTCTCTGTCTGTCTCTCTCTCTGTCTCTCTCTGTCTCTGTCTGTCTCTGTCTCTGTCTGTCTTTGTCTCTGTCTGTCTCTGTCTGTCTCTGTCTGTCTCTGTCTGTCTGTGTCTGTCTCTGTCTGTCTCTGTCTCTGGCTGTCTCTCTCTCTCTCTGTCTGACTCTGTCTCTGTCTGATTCTGTCTCTGTCTGACTCTGTCTCTGTCTGACTCTGTCTCTGTCTCTGTCTGACTCTGTCTGACTCTGTCTCTGTCTGACTCTGTCTCTGTCTGACTCTGACTCTGTCTCTGCCTGACTCTATCTCTGTCTGACTGTCTCTGTCTGACTCTGTCTCTGTCTGACTCTGTCTCTGTCTGACTCTGTCTCTGTCTGACTCTGTCTCTGTCTGACTCTGTCTCTGTCTGACTGTCTCTGCCTGTCTCTCTGTCCCCTAAACCTTGGCCTGTCTGTAACGAGGCCAAAAACGAAAAAAATCATAAATCGCTCAAACTTCGTTTTTGACATTTCAGAAGGTGCTGACGATTTTTGAATAAAAAATTTAGTACTTGACGCCATTTTTTTCAACACAATATTGATTATACCAAACGTTGGTAACAGTAAATTGTTAAGGCAAAACGATATCTCTCATGAAACAGGAAGCTTGATACGTATAACCATTATGATTATTTAAAAACAGAATCATAATAATAGAGACAAATTATATAAATGTTTGTTAGTTTCCAGACATTCATTATAGTTTAATAAGCCATGAGCCTTATCGGACAGCTTATTAAATGCTACGGTAGAAACTCGAAAACAGTTTGATAAAAATTTTTGTTTGCTTGACATTAACTGTATCAATTAAATGTATTTTTATCCTAACCATATTAATCATTTGCAGTCAATACGTATTTCTGGTTTACAGAAAGGTTGATAGTTTATCCCAGTTTGAGGCTTCAGTTTTATTTGAATTTTTTGCTCACCACATCAACATGCGAGGAAGCACTGGCATTATGAAATATTTCTAATTATAGATGTCTTTGAGATTTCTCATGAAGAGCCTCTGAAAAGTACATAAGCCATTTTGATCAAGCTTTGGCTAACACTGAAAGGTGGAAAGCTATTTTTAAATCGAGACCAGTGGTTATACAGAACAAATAACTATCGGTACTCCATGCTGTGACGGATGAAAATATTGTGCAGGAATAGATAAATGCTATGAGGGTTAATCTCATTCATTATTGTAATAACGGTTTTTTATCTTCCGACACAACAGCTCATGATCCCAGGGCTGCCAGATATTATTTATTTTCTGAAAGACAAAACGTGGGCCGATTTGCTGGTACCAGAAGGTACTGTAAAAACAGGATCAGCTTTACTTATACTAAGTGACATATAAAGCCGAACACCCAGTTTAAATGGTTTTATTTTAATAAAATTTTGTATAAGTACTTAATGAAGCATAATAAGTAAATGATAAAAATTTCAAAATGATTGCACTGCTTTAAAGCCCTTTGACCTTTAATAATATGTGGATGCACCCTGATGTGCTACGCATTCTCCAACGCGCCTAGGCATGCTTCTGATCAGGTGGTCAATGTCCTCCTGTGGTATCTCATTCCAGGCAACCACCAACTCCTCTCGAAGTGCTTCTAGAGTCTGAGGAGGACGTTGCAAATTGAGCAATCTCCTACCCATCATATCCCATACGTGCTCAATTGGGGATAAGTCGGGAGATCTTGGTGGCCATGGTAACAATGTGACATCATTATGTTGAAAGAAGTCTATTATGACTCTTGCAACATGTGGTCGGGCATTATCTTGTTGGAAAGTTGGATCTGCCGGGGTGTCAAGGTAGGGTAAAAGATGGGGATCTAGAACTTCGTGGATATAACGCTGCGCGTTCATGTTACCTCTGATGAAGATTAAAGGTGACCTGGAACCATAAGCTATAGCACCCCAAACCATAACTCCAACAGTGTGATGAACATGTCTTTCAACAAAAAAGTGTGGATTCCTCCTTTCACCACGTCGCCTTGTAACCCTGGCACGACCATCGTGCATGCCTAAACAAAATCGAGACTCGTCACTAAAGACAATACTGTTCCATTCCTGATCCCAGAGTGACCGTTGTCTGCACCACTCAAGGCGATTACGTCGGTGTTCTCGAGTTAAAGGGAGGACCCAGTGTGGCTGGTATGAAGCCAAAACTTCTCATTCGTCGGTAAACACTTCGCATACCAATAGGTCTTCCGTGTTCTGCAAACCATTCATTTGCAATGGACCTGGTAGTGGAGAAACGGTCCCTTAAGGCCAATAATCTTAGGCGGCGATCTTCACGGTCTGTTGTTCTACGGCGGCGTCCAGTGCCCCTTGCTCTTTGCGTACGGCCTTCTCGAAGCCATGCCTGACAACACCTAACCACAGTGTCTACACTTCTTTGCACTCTAACTGCAATTGCCCGAAAAGAAAGTCCAGCTTCCCGAAGTCCCACTATACGGCCCCTATCAAACTTACTAAGTTGACGAAATCGTACAGGTCTCCGTACTCTAGACATCGTAACCGATCGTAAAGGATGTTAAGAACCAAAATCCGCCAACGTTGATTCTTTACTGCGGCTGAAATATTCATTTTTAGAGCGTTAGTGAATTAAAAAAAAAAACAGGGTAAAAACCGGAATGTCCAACTGATAAGGCTGAAAATTTTTTCACTTGTTATTTACAGTAAGATAAATATATTCACCAACTTTTATTAAAATAAAACCATTTAAACTGGGTGTTCGGATTTATATGTCACTTAGTATATATTCAGATGGCTGATTCTTATACAGGGTGTTTCAAGTCGCTTAAATGGGGGCAAAGTTGCGAATTTAAGTAGTCGACAAAATGTCGTCTAGAAAGTTTCGAAATTTAAAGTACTTCCAGAGAGAGACGGGACCAACCGAATTTTCTCGAAATCGTTTTATTTGTAGTGGGATTTCAAACCAAATTGCACATTACCATTGCCACTTTTCCTCCTCTTCAAGATGGCATAATTAAAATTTCAATATGACGTTTCATCTGTCGTCCTCCTTTATTTTTCTTATAGACGCCATATTGGATTTTTCCATAGATGTATTTATAAATCTGATTCCAAAAATATTATAATACGTCCTACATTTATGTTGCCTTAGTTATTCCAGAAAAACAGAAGCTCCTAGGTAGGCCTTGAAATTATCAGATTTCATTTGTTTCGTATAGCAGACCAGACCTCAAATGCGTTTTATTGTCTTATCTATTTTATTCATGTTTGTATTTATTTTGTGTTAAGTGGAGGAATAGCTTAAGCTAAACTTGAATATGTTTATTATATACACTACCGTTCAAAAGTATTTGAACACCCAGAAAACAAGGAAACTGATGGGAAGTTATGAAAGAAAACATTACAATATCTGTACGAAACATTTATTTTCTTAATTCTTAACAACATTTATATTCGTAATCAGAATAATCATATTTTTGACTCGTCAATATGTCCTAATTTACTTTTAATTACAGCCTGTCAAACAATGGGTAAACGCGCAACTAATTTTTCTTAAATGGATGGGGTTATTTTTCGCCATTCTCCATAAGTGTTCTTGAGATGTACTTGTCTGTCCAGTTCATCCCATAGCAACTCTGTCGGATTCAAATCCGGGGTTGGGAAGGGCATTGCATGACTTTCAAAATATTTTGTTCTTCTTTTGATTCCAAAAATTGTTTACAGAGCTTGGATGTGCGTTTGACTACTTGAATTTTCGAGTAACTGACGTAAAAACTTCTTGACTTAATTTACATTTCTAATATCTAATACTTGACTTGATTTCAAGTAGTATAGTCTTGCCATATACTACTATAGTTCACTCTTTTCGTTACAGAGAAGGTCCCCATCCGAGTATGGATCGGATTGATGGTTTTCTTGACGACATACGTCAACTACACCATGCGCTCGAACATGTCCATAGCGATAGTGTCAATGGTAACGGCGCAGAAAGGAAGGGTATTCCCGGAATGCAAAGAAAGGGAAATGGAAGCTACACGGCTGCCGGGACTAACCACTACTATGCAATCGAATGATACTAATATCACCATCACAACAACGGAAAGACCTGAACTGCCGAATGTAAGATTCAACAAATTTCTAATAATTATACATTTGCTACAGGGATCTTAGAAGCAAGTGCGTACCCTGCTCAAAACGGAAAATAAAATTGTATATTCACTGAATCAAAGCAGTTACGTTACAACGTCAAATAATGACAGAGACGCACATGGTTGCCACATTACTTAAAACTACTAGATCCTAGGAAATAAACAACGAATAAACAACAACCGTACGCGTAATTTCCATGACAAGCTTTGCGACAATGTTACAATACAGAAAACTGTTACAAACATAAATGTACCCGGAAAATTCAAACTATACGTACAAATTTAGCATTGAGGTTGGCATTCAAATTTACTAAATATGATGTAATTGCTTTGTTGCAGTGAAAGGACTATATGCTTAATATTTTTCTTTCTATTTGCATTTGATTTATGCAGGGTGTTTCAGTTTATTGTTGCATAACTTTAAGATTCGATAGAACTTTTAAAATTAATGCATAAAGTCTATATAAACATGGGTCGAAAAATGCGTGGCTTCCAAAATACAGGGTGTTTAAATTTACTTTCTAAAATAGTTTTGTTTTAAATATTTCGAACAATATTTGATGTATAATAGTGAAAATTGGTATACAAGGGTTTTTTGGTACGACAAAACGAACCAATGGCATAGTTTTACTGTAGCCGCTAGAGGGCGCTCTCTACTGTACCTGTAGTGTATTTAAATGACCGAAAAAATTTTCTTTGTGCAATTTTTTGCTTTTTGGATAAAAAAACTGATTCTTCGCACTTTTCTGCATAAAAAAGCTCTCCTGTGAGTTTTCGTTATAGTTAGCCGTTTTTGAGATATTCCGATTTTTAAGGTTCGATGCATTTTTAATTATTAATTAAGATGATCGTTTAGATTGTGTTTTTAAACACAGCAATAATTCCTAACTCCAATTAAACACAAAAAACAGAATATTAATTTTTTTAGTTTTCCAATATTATTTTTAACAAATTAAATTAATTATTTACAACTAAAATGCTATTGGATAGTTAGAACAAACATACAAAATCTAAAGTAGTTGCTCGAAATGTAAACCCAATTGTCATTCCAGTACGGTCCTCGTTATGACTGGGACCAATATACGCAGTCGGCCATCCTAGGCAGCTACTTCTATGGCTACATCTTTTCCTCATTGCCTGGTGGGATAATAGCAGAAAGATACGGCCCGTTCGCCGTCCTGTTCTGGACCCACTTGATCAGTGCCGTCTTCAACTCGGCTTGCGAGTTTGCTGCTTGGGTACACTACAGCTTGCTGATGTTCTGCAGGATTGTCTTAGGACTTATGGCGGTAGGTGTCATTAGAAAAGATTTCTAGTTTGAGTTATATACTAAGTGACATATAAATCCGAACACCCAGTTTAAATGGTTTTATTTTAATAAAAGTTGGTGAATGTATTTATCTTTCTGTAAATAACAAGTGAAAAAATTTTCAGCCTTATCAGTTGGACATTCCGGTTTTTATACTGCTTTTTTTTAATTCACTAACGCTCTAAAAATGAATATTTCAGCCGCAGTAAAGAATCAACGTTGGCGGATTTTGGTTCTTGACATCCTTTACGATGGTTAGAGTACGGAGAGCTGTACGATTTCGTCAACTTAGTGAGTTTGATAGTGGCCGTATAATGGGACTTCGGGAAGCTGGACTTTCTTTTCGGGCAATTTCAGTTACAGTGCAAAGAAGTGTAGACACTGTGGTTAGGTGTTGTCAGGCATGGCTTCGAGAAGGCCGTACGCAAAGAGCAAGGGGCACTGGACGCCGCCGTAGAACAACGCCTAAGATTATTGGCCTTAAGGGACCGTTTCTCCACTACCAGGTCCATTGCAAATGAATGGGTTACAGAACACGGAAGACCTATTTGCATGCGAAGTGTTTACCGACGAATGAGAAGTTTTGGCTTGTTTTCATACCGGCCACACTGGGTCCTCCCTTTAACTCGAGACCACCGACGTAATCGCCTTGAGTGGTGCAGACAACGGTCACTCTGGGATCAGGAATGGAACAGTATTGTCTTTAGTGACGAGTCTCGATTTTGTTTAGGCATGCACGATGGTCGTGCCAGGGTTAGAAGGCGACGTGGTGAAAGGAGGAATCCACAGTTTTCTGTTGAAAGACATGTTCATCACACTGTTGGAGTTATGGTTTGGGGTGCTATAGCTTATGGTTCCAGGTCACCTTTAATCGTCATCAGAGGTAACATGAACGCGCAGCGTTATATCCACGAAGTTCTAGAACCCCATCTTTTACCCTATCTTGACACCCTGGCAGATCCAACTTTCCAACAAGATAATGCCCGACCACATGTCGCAAGAGTCACAATAGACTTCTTTCAACATAATGATGTCACATTGTTACCATGGCCACCAAGATCTCCCGACTTATCCCCAATTGAGCACGTGTGGGATATGATGGGTAGGAGATTGCTCAATTTGCAACGTCCTCCTCAGACTCTAGAAGCACTTCGAGAGGAGTTGGTGGTTGCCTGGAATGAGATACTACAGGAGGACGTTGACCACCTGATCAGAAGCATGCCTAGGCGCGTTGGAGAATGCGTAGCACATCAGGGTGCATCCACACATTATTAAAGGTCAAAGGGCTTTAAAGCAGTGCAATCATTTTGAAATTTTTGTCATTTACTTATTATGCTTCATTAAGTACTTATACAAATTTTATTAAAATAAAACCATTTTAAACTGGGTGTTCGGATTTATATGCCTTCTCGAAGCCATGCCTGACAACACCTAACCACAGTGTCTACACTTCTTTGCACTCTAACTGCAATTGCCCGAAAAGAAAATCCAGCTTCCCGAAGTCCCACTATACGGCCCCTATCAAACTCACTAAGTTGACGAAATCGTACAGGTCTCCGTACTCTAGGCACCGTAACCGATCGTAAAGGATGTCAAGAACCAAAATCCGCCAACGTTGATTCTTTAATGCGGCTGAAATATTCATTTTTAGAGCGTTAGTGAATTAAAAAAAAGCAGTATAAAAACCGGAATGTCCAACTGATAAGGCTGAAAATTTTTTCACTTGTTATTTACAGTAAGATAAATACATTCACCAACTTTTATTAAAATAAAACCATCTAAACTGGGTGTTCGGATTTATATGTCACTTAGTATATTTAGTAAATTAAAACTTATTGGAATTAGAGTACGCCACGTAAATTATTTCAAAATTATTTGCATAACAGAAAACAAGGTTAAAATTGAAAATATAAATAGTGAAAAAATGATCCCTCCCTTTCAATAGATATATCAACGATTTATGTAATCTATAAAGTGCAAAAATAGGATTTGCAGATGACACCCCACTCATCCATAAAGCCAGAACTTGGACGACATTAAAAGAAGAAACTGAAAAATATTTAGTACAGATAATAGACTGGTTCGATAATCAATTATTAACTATTAATTATAAAAAACCTACTTTATTCCCTTCACTATTATCATTACTATTATTATTATTTATCAGGGTCTTTGTTATCCAGCGTTGCAATGCCTGATTGCACGCTGGGCACCACCATCCGAGAAAGGAAAATTCGTGTCCTGCTTGATGGGCAACACCTTGGGCACATGCATAACTTGGCCGCTAGTGGGCGCTGTTACCCAGGCTGTCGGTTGGGGTTGGGGATTCCACGTCATCAGCGCTCAGGTGCTCGTCTATTGCGTCATTTTCTACTTCGTCGCTGCGAACAGCCCAGAAGATCACAAGTGGATCACGGAAGAAGAGAAAAATTACATTAAGGAATCCCAGGGCGGGAACGTCTCCAAAAAAAGGGTAAGCAGGAGGATAATGTACACTTCTCGACTTGATGATTTTTTTTACAGAATTTTCGAAGATTATGTTTGTTTTGATTTATTTAGCAAGATTGCTACAATTACATTCTTCTAAAAAACTAAGCAATTACATAACATACAGATATTTAGAAAACAACAAAATTCACATCTTTAAGAATTTTCACTGTCCATGAAATATTCCTTTAATTTTCTTTTAAACATCTTTAAATTACAAGTAGACTATATTATTATTTAGTTTTTCAAATTCAAGTAATCCTTTCTGAAATATTGATTTGCTATTGCAATTTTGTAAATGAAAATCTATATTTCCTCTCATAAAATAATTGTGGTAATGATTGCTTAATTCTATGTAGTGTTCTAAATGGTGTGGCAAAAGATGATTTTTTTTAATATAAAAATAAGAAGCAAATATGATATGATATTTTTTAAATTCAACCACTGCAATTCTTGTAACATAGACTTTATTTTGGTGTACTAATTTTAATTCAATATTATTCTCATAGCTTTATTTTGCAGGACTTGTAATTTTGAGACTACAGCTTCATTGGCTGTGAACAAGATAGTTGAACAATATAGTAAATGCGGTAGAATAATTGTATTATAAACTATGTTTTGGGAATATGTACCAAGAATATGAGAAGCCCTATAAAAGTTATTTATTTTTTGGGCAATTTTTGAAATAATATATTCATAGTGATCTTCAAACTTTAGCTTACTATCAATATACAGGGTGTCCGCAAAGTTGGGGTTTTCCTTTACACGACGTGTAGATCTTGAAAACATAAGCAATTTTTCTTAGTACCATATACAAAAATGTCTTAAGGGAACCGAGATAAAGGGCTCTGCAACATCAAAAATATCTGAATACCGTCCTGTAGCCGCGACATCCCCGAGTGGTACTAGGACACTAGCTCAACCCGACGACAGAACTGGGTCGGGGTCAGTGTGTCAGGTCAGTATGCAACCTTCAACCGACGGTTACGGTCACGCGTGTAGAGGTAATCGCGTAGACCAGAATCCCTCAACAAGCACTAGAGACGTGGCTATAGAAGTGCAAGTATCAAAAACTAAAGTGTGACAAACGCTGCGTGAAGAGGGGCTGTATCCGTTTCACGTCCAACGTGTACAAGCCCTTCAACCTGACGATTTTCCAGCAAGAGTGCGGTTTTGTGAGTGGTTGTTGCATCAACATGACAATAATCCATACGTTTTGAAGTGCATATTGGTGACAGACGAATCTACGTTCACGCGTAATGGGGTGAATAACTTTCGCAACACTCATGTTTGGTTAGTAGAAAATTCGCACGCTGTCCGTCGGGCACATTTTCAACAAACATTTTCCGTGAATGTTTGGGCTGGCATGGTGAATGGTATGCTCATTGGACCATTTATTCTCCCAAATCGATTGGACGGGATGCAATACCTAGACTTTTTACGAAACATTTTGCCTTTCCTGTTTTCCTGCGTCTGCTCGGTAGCGCATCAGCTGATTTCATTTTCTGTTGGAGCGGTATGATTTCGGGCAGAGACGTACTTAGCCCCTTTCGTCAACTGGAGAGTGAGTACTTTTTCCTTAATTTTTTTTTTACTTGGTCGCCCTCGTTTCACTACACCTTTGTTATTTCAAGGGTAGTTGTTTCTGAAAAGGAAAATCCCAACTTTGCGGACACCCTGTATATATATACCTAAATATTTAATTGATTCAACATTTTCAATTATTTCACCATTTATCGTAACTGCGATATTATTTTCATTTAGGTATTTCTCTATTAGCATACATTTTGTTTTACAAGTATTCAATATTAGTTTATTTACATTTAATCAATATATTTAGCAAGTCAGAATTCAGCATTTTTGAAGCAGTGTCTATATTGTCATCTGATATGTATATTAATGTATCATCTGCAAATATTTGAATTTCACAATAATCTAAAACTTTACAAATGTATAAAATAAATAGTAGTGGCCCTAGTTTACTACCTTGTGGTATACCAACAGAAATATTTTCTGATCCTGATAATGTAGATCCAATTTTGGTTTTTTGACTTCTGTCAACTAAATAGTTTTTTAGAACTTTGAATACGATCCGTTAAATCCGTAGTGATGCAATTTTGTAAGTAATTTATCACTGTCAATAGTCTCAAACGCCCTTTTGAACTGCAAAAAGACTGTAACTGTATGTTTCCTATTGTCCATACATCTCATCCAGTCCTCTAAAACCATTTGTGTTGAAGTTTCAGTTGGGTGTTTCGTTTATAATTGGCCATTGGAAAGAGAAAAAAAATCGAACAGATAAAAAAGGCTCTTCATACAAAAAAAAACAGTCGACTCTTTTTGCTCAAAATAATACATTTGTGGAACGCTATCGGATAGGAAAGATTAAAGAATGCATTTTTCAAAACGTAATCTGACCGCTAGGTGAAAATTCAGAGCTTTTTGGAAAGAGATCTGACATCGTGGATTCCTTTGTCATCCTATATGTACAGTGTGTTTTTTAAAGTACCTCGTTTAACTTCAAGGTGTAATTTGTTGGGTGATCCTAAGAGAAAATGTTGATATTGCCTAATAATACTTCATTTCGGAAATTCAGGATGAAAAAAAAAATGAAAATCGAATAAAAAAAACGCGTCAATGAAACCTAAATTAAAAAAAAGTTTAACGGATTTTAATTCGGCTTTCTAAATGACCATGGCAATTTGTGGTTGAGTAAAGAAAACGCTTTAATGACTTTGATTAAATTTCCATCTTCGATGCTATACTTCATCAAATTTTATCAAAATTGGCAGGTTTACTACGATTTTTTCAAATCAGAATGGAAAAATTGACATATATATCTTTAAAACGGGGAGTTATCGGAACTATATGAACCTATTTTTTGGAAACAGCCAAGCTACTCTTTGACTGAGTATTAAGACCCGCAAGGGTATTATATATCTTGAAAAGTGACATTATGTCAGTTTTTTATGACATTATACCGGGTGGCTCACCCCTATAACTTTTTTATTAGTGAAGATAGAAGAACGAAATTTGGGGGTTGCATATTATAGACGAATTTACATTTTTTGACATAATAGGAAATATAAAAACTTGTTTAGATCTTGCAATTGATAAAAAAGTGATTTGCTCGACAAAAATACACCCTGGTATAACAAGAATATTAAGGCAGCTCAAAATTTGAGAGACAAACAATACAATAAATGTATATTCACAAAATCAAATGATGATTGGGAGGTATATAAAACTCTTAGGAATAAATGTGTATATGTAATTAGAGAAGAAAAAAGAAAATTCTACGATAAACAAATCGATAATAACAAGCGCGACAGTATAAAGATGTGGAAGACTTTAAAAAGACTGATCAATTCGAATCCGCATGATTGTGTAAATCAAGTTCAATTCGAAAACGGTACCGAAACAATTTGTTTGGTGATTGCAAACAAACTAAATGAATATTTTGTGGAAAGTATTGTTGATATTGTAGGTACTGCCAATGCTGCACCTGACTATATGAAAATCAGTTTCCAGGGGGAAACACTTTCAAAATTTCACAGCTTATCATTGAATTATCTAAGAAAAAAAGTAAATAGTTTAAAATCAAATAACAACTGTACCGAAATGACTACTAAAACGTGCTGAAAAACTGTTTCGAAATTTCGGGATATCCTGTATTAAATTGGATCAATTGTTCACTGAGAAGCAGTTCTTTCCCTGAAAATTTGAAATGCTCTACAATAACACCAGTTCCCAAAATAAAAAATTCTAAAAGATGCAGCGATATGAGACCAGTAAATGTGTTACCAGACATTGAAAAATTATTAGAGTCCATAGTGCATGACCAATTAATGCAGTTTATAGAAGAAAACAAAATTTTAGTGGAGGCGCAAGCAGGCTTTCGAAAAAAATATTCCACAGAAACAGCTTTCCAGTTGGTAACTGAGAATTGGAGAAGAGCCATAGACTCAGAAGAAGTTGTCATAGCAGTATTTTTGGATTTGAAGAGGGCATTTGAAACGATTGATAGAGATATTTTGTTAGGTAAATTGAAGGCATATGGTATAACAGGAAGTGTTTTAGATTGGTTTAGAAATTATTTGTCTAAAAGGATGCAAGTTACAAAAGTTAATGACACTATTTCATCAAAAATGGAAAATACGTTGGTTGTTCCACAGGGCAGTATCCTGGGACCACCTCTTTTTATTCTATACATAAATGATTTACCTGCCAAAATTCAAATTTTCGCCGATGACACTATGATTTATATAAGTACTAAAAATATTCAGTCTGGTATCTCTTATATAAATGAAGACTTGGAGCTTGTCTCAAAATGGTTAGCATCTAACAGACTAAAATTGAATGCAAGTAAAACGAAAGCCTTGTTAATCGGAAAAAAACAATGTACAAATGTTCAACTGAATATTGATGGTGAAGATATTGAATTCGTAGAAAATTTTAAATACCTGGGAGTTTTTGTTGACTCTCGATTAATTTTTGATATTCATTATGAAAAAGTTATAAATAAGATTAGTAGTAAAGTGGGATATTTATCGAGAGTTTCTGGATGTCTGAGTTCATATATCAGAAAAATTATCTATAATACCATCATTCTTCCAAATTTCTTGTACTGTTCGACTATTCTATATTTAGCAAATAATTCCATTTTTGAAACACTGCAAATTTTACAAAATAAGTGCATGAGAATAATACTAAATAAAGATAAATATACTCCAATTAGGCAAATGCTTAGCAAATTAAAATGGCTCAATGTAAAAAAAATTATCAAATATCTTGTAATGATATTCATTTATAAAGTAAAAAATAATATATTTCCATCAAGTCTAACTAATTTAACATCATCAAATGTCGACCATCATTTAGATAATACCAGAAATAAAGATGACTTCCATTTAGGTAATGACCAAAAAGTATAACATATGCTACAAATCTGTATTCCATCAAGGGTTGATTGAATATAATAAATTATACTCGGAGATAAAAGACCAGAAAACTTTGACAAAAGTTAAAGTAAAATTGAGAAATCACTTGTTAAATCTACAATTATAGGTTGCCCAGCATTTACATCATACACCATATGGCTTGAATTTACTAGTTCTAAGTTGTTTACAATTGTTCTGTTTATGTAGCCAAATGTGCTAAATAAATCTTTCTACTACTACTACTACATATTCGCTAGCTTGAACGTACTTCCGGTTTGATCGGAAACGACTCCAACTTTCGATTTTTAAAATATGTTTTTACTTATTTCGATCGGAAATGACAATCTGAACTCAACAACGCATCACTTGAAAGTATTTGACAAATAAAGTAATTTTTATTTTAATTTTCATTTTTCGATCTAGACCTGAAGGTCGTTTTAAAGATTTTCTAAAAGTTACAAACACTATTTTTTTTCAGTTTACTTGATTTTTTCTAAGAGACCATTTTCTTACGAATAATTTGTCACTCTTATTTTGTTTCCAGACGCAGAATTACGAACGATTCGTGGACCTTAACTTAAACTATGACCTTCAGGCTTTTTTACCTTTCCTCAAAATATCTCGTATTCTGTTCCACTACCAATAGCGCTTAGCAATAGCAAATACATGTGTAGTACAGTGTTAAACACATACAACATTTCTGGATCTCTGATTTCTTTCACTGATTTTATTTCTCTTCATTGGCCTGTGTGTTATTTAAAAAATAACTATAAAACCTATTTTACCTAACCACTAATATTTGTGGAGAATCTGACGCCATGACAATTCATTTTATCATTTCATTTTCTTCCAGGCAACACCTCCATACAAAAAGATGTTCACTTCAATGCCGTTTTGGATATTGAACATCCTACATTTCGGTAACTTGTGGGGTCTGTACCTGCAGATCACTAACGCTCCTAAATATATCGCTGAAGTGGTAGGCTTCAATTTGAGAGATTCCGGAGGCTTGGCCGCAATGCCTCATCTTACGCGAATGTTCATGGGATTGGCTTATGGGAACATCGGCGATTTTTGCAAGAAAAAGGGGCTGCCAACCAAATTCATCAGGAAGTTCTTCGTCATATTTTGTAAGTAGATTTTTTAAAGTGACTTTTCTATGGGAGCAAGATCACGTGGTCATCAAGATGTGACTTTTGACATCAATGTCGAACTTAAGGTCAAACCAACAATGACGTTACAGTCGATGAAGGAGATTATATACAAGAATAAACTGTACCACAAATTTTAGTTTTTTAATTGTATCTTGTGGGAAAAGTGCACTTCTTTGTTAATTTTGGGGCGCTGAATCCAAAAATGACAATGAAATAAAAAAATTAGTTGCGGTTTAGAAAAAAACTTTTTATTTTTAAGGATATATTAAAAAAAGTAACAAGATTCATATACTTATAAGAATCACTATATGCGCTGTCTTTTTGCTGTTCTTTTATGGATCGTTTCTGGAGCATCTCTACCAAGAATCCAACAGTAGTCTGCAAGCATGGAAGGATTCCACTTTCCCTGGTACCTTTTTTCCATTGTTGAAATATCCTGATGAGAACGTTCGCCGTGCTCATCACTTACGGCTCCGCAATTGTCAGGAGAAAAGTCCAGGTGTGAGTGTAGGAAATGTATCTTAAGAGACATATTACAGCCCTTCTTTTGATACGATGACAGCATATTTTTGACAAGGGTTTTATAGTTGTCAGCTTTTCTATTTCCCAAGAAATTAGTGACCACCAGACGGAAATCATTCCAAGCAGTTTTTTCAATACCTGTTGAAGTGTTTTCAAACTGTGTATCTTCCAAAATATTTTGAATCTGTGGCCCAACAAAAATACCTTCTTTAACCTTTGCCTCACTTAGTCTTGGAAATTTATGACGCAGGTATTGAAAAGCTGACCGATCTCTATCTAATGCCTTGACAAAGTTTTTCATTAGGCCCAACTTGATATGCAGTGGTGGTAATAAATTTTTTTTCGAATCTACTAATGGCATATGCTGTACATTTTTTTGACCTGGCTCTAGGAATTGACGAACAGGCCAGTTTTGTCTGGTGTAATGAAGTGCCTTTGCCCGACTGTCCCATTCACACAAAAAACAGCAAAACTTTGTGTAGCCTAGCTGCAGCCCAAGTAAAAGTGCAACAACTTTCAAATAGCCACAAATATGCCATTGGTGCTCATCGTATGTCAATAGGTACTTCATATTGTCATATTATTCTTTCATGTGAACTGCATACCCTACAGGAAGAGATGGTAAAATATTTCCAATATGCAATAATACTGCCTTTAAACTCAATGTTGAACTGTCTATAAACAATCTTTATTCTTCTGGGTTATAGTTTATATTTAAAGCCGCCAGTAAGCCGTTAATGTTACTGCAGAAAACCAAGTTATTCTCCTTATTGAAAAATGGTTCTAAGTCTTTGTGGTGTTTACGAAAAACACATACCGAAACATCGTCTTCTAACAAGTTCCACTGCTGCAGTCTTGATCCAAGTAACTCTGCCTTACATTTTGGAAGTTCTAAATCTCTTACAAGATCATTTAATTCTGACTGTGTTATTTTGTGCGGTTGGTGGCATGACGTGCTCGGTACAAAATCAGGATCTCTTGACGTTGATGGCATATCTTCTTCCTGACGAATCACTCGATCACCATGATCTGATTCGTTTTCTGATTCGCAAGTGTAGGATTCTGGGGGTTTTGGATTAGGATTTTCGTCACTGTGAGGCACAGGTCTCATCGCAGATGGTATGTTTGGGTAGTTAATAACCGATTTTTTTTTCTTGGACATACCTGTGGCTTGTCCAACACAAGGTACCAAGCAAAAGTAACAATCATTAATATGATTTGTAGGCTCTCTCCAAACCATGGGGACAGCAAAGCGCATAGAACGTTTTTTGCCATTTAACCAGCTTCTCAGACTTGAAGCACATGTATTACAGCAGATGTGGAGTGCCCACTGTTTGTCTTGATCACCTAGTTTACAACCGAAATAAAGCTGATATGCCCTTGTTATTAGTGGAGTAATAGACCGTCTCTGAGACGCAAAAGTCACATCACCACACACGTAACAAAACTGATCTGGATTGTTTACACACTTTCGAGACATCTTGCATGAACGCTGTCAGCCAACTGAGGAAAAAATGGCTAATATAAAGCAATATAATGTACACGTATGTATAACGTAACACAATCATGCCGATTACATCATCTTTCCTTGCCGAATATAAAAATGTAGCACGTGCATTCTTGTGAATTACAGTATATTAACAGTGTCACAGCAGGAACACATATAATTACCGTATCTCTAAAACTTGAACTAATATTGAAAAAATAAGTTTCATTCCGGTTTTAGCACATTAAAAATAGTAATATGTTGTTGATTTTAATATTTTTTGGCTGTTGAACAGTGAATTGATAGTAGTTTTTTATTGTCTTGTTAATACATTTATAAAAAAGGATTTCTGTTAAAATTTGATTCAACCTCGTAGGCGGGAAGACGAGGTTTTAGCCATACTATACAGGGTGGCCAACTAAGAATTCGAGGTACTGTACCCGGGAACCTATTATTCGCAGAAGCTTGTGGCAAAAAAAAGTTTCTACTAAAATGATCAAGAGAAAAACCTGGAAAATACTTTGAGGCTTCTGAAGTGGCCGCTATCACATGCCTAAAGTATCTTCATCGATTATTCTTTTTCAGCTCACATCATCCCAGGCATTCTGCTGATAGGAATACCATTTGTCGAATGTCAGCCCACCATAGTAGTGGCGCTGCTGATCACGAGCATGGGCGTTAACGGTGCTGCCGTGCTGACAAATCTGCAAAACCCTCAGGATCTGGCGCCTAATTTCGCAGGGTCGATATTCGGAATCATCAGTTTTATTGGAGGGACGACTGGATTCATTGTGCCCGCCATTACTGGTGCTTTCATCAACCATGGAGTAAGTGACAACACTGGCATTTGTTTATTATTATTTGCATATTATCTATTTGTTAAACAAAATTTAGCGTGATAATGTATCATCGATTTTATATATATATATATATATATATATAACAAAAAGTAGGAAAATAATGAGCAAAATCTGCAAAAAAGGGGAAAGTGGAACGAAGATGGAGATTTAAAAAAAAAATGACACACGAAGTCCACAACAAGAGCCAACCTTTACATTGTAGTATAAAATGGCTAGAAGACCTCGAATTTTCAAGGAGACATCTAACCATGACCTTGAAAATTCGAGGTCTTCTAGCCATTTTATACTACAATGTGTAGATTGCTCCTTGTTGTGGACTTCGTGTGTCGATTTTTTCCTCTCCATCTTCGTTTCCTCAGGTTACACCCGTATCCGTATGTGTGGGCATGTCTATCTACTTTTGTAGTTGCATATGTGCATTCATTTCGGGCCTGATGAAGCCAACCAGCAGAAATACGTATCGCTCGGGTTATCTATCCTATTTTCTGCTCGAATCCACTTTCCTCCTTTTTACGGATTTTGCCCATTATTTTCCTACCTTTTGTTATATACCTTTCTCCGCATGATCATTTTCCTGTATATACAGGGTGACTTTGAAGTTGAGTCATTAATTTTCAGATACTGATTGTAGAAGGAAGATAAACCAAAATATGTGTGTAAAAATAAAAAAAAATTAAAAAAAAATTTTACCTTGTTTTATAAAGTATCCTCCCGACAAGTATTTCAGTGTGGACCTGTATTTGATCGTGAGGTCTTGGAGCACCGGCATGCCGTCCGTATGTGAGGTCTTAAGTCAAATGATTCACGAACCCGTTGTACTACATTAACAAAGGCACGAGGGGTTGGTTGCACTCGATTGGGAAACCGATCCGCATAAACATGTGCCATTTTTTATTTCGTTTGAGCCACGCAACAGACACCACTATCCACTACCTAGTGACACTGGCTATATACAACTGAATGAAATAATTGTAAAAACATCGTTCCAAATTCTTTCGCTTTTTTGTTTCCGATGCGATGAACCGATAAGGCGAATTATATCCGTTGTCACCAAACACGTGCACATAATATTATTATTGAGACAGGGCGGTACTCAAACTTCCAAATACTTGTCGGGAGGATACTTTATAAAACAAGGTAACATTTTTTTTAATTTTTTTTTTATTTTTACACACATATTTTGGTTTATCTTCCTTCTACAATCATTATCTGAAAATTAATGACTCAACTTCAAAGTCACCCTGTATATTATATATATATATATATATATATATATATCATATATTTTAGTTTATGTATTGTTCACATACAGGGTGGTCCAAGGAAAAGGTCGCACCCCATTTGTGTCTCTCCTGATTTATATATATATATAAAGCTTCCGCCTTTAGTTGGATACTTCGCCAAAATTCAAGCAATGAGGTCTCTTTATACTTTATTAGCTTCTAGCTTTCAATGGACTATGCCATCATCATCAGGAGCTGCAATAACGTTGAGAAGAACTATTAAATTACTTAAAATAGTATGTGAGATTGTTGCTAAATGTTATTAATGGTTAACATACTATTGTAAGTAATTTAAAATCATTTTGCACAATAGTTGCTATTTCTTCTCAACGTTATTGCAGCTCCTGATGATGATGGCATAGTAAATTGAAAGCTAGAGACTAATAAAGTATAGAGTCCTCATCGCTTGAATTTTGTCGAAGTACCCAAGGCGGAAGCTTTATTTTTCACCTAACTGGTCTAGACGACAATGACTACATCTCAAGTTATATATATATATATTTTTTTTATATATTCAAATAATATTAACTATGTATATATATATTTAGTATATATAATTTATATATCTTGGCGATATATTTTCCAAATATTTAGAAAATATGCGAGGAAAGATTTTTAAATATCAGTTTTATATTATGATGAAATATTCAACATTTTTCGTAAATATTTATATACTTTGAAGTTGAGTCATTAATTTTCAGATAATGATTGTAGAAGGAAGATAAACCAGAATATGTGTGTAAAAATAAAAAAAAATTAAAAAAAATGTTTACCTTGTTTTATAAAGTATCCTCCCGACAAGTATTTCAGTGCGGACCTGTATTTGATCGTGAGGTCCCCTGTGAGGTCTTAAGTCACCTGATTCACGAACCCGTTGTACTACATTAACAAAGGCACGAGGGGTTGGTTGCACTCGATTGGGAAACCGATCCGCATAAACATGTACCATTTTTTATTTCGTTTGAGCCACGCAACAGACACTATTCACACGCTAACCGACAGACACTGACTGTATGTATAACTGAACTGAATAAAATACTTAATTGCAAAAACATCGCTCCAAATTCTTTCGCTTTTTTGTTTCCGATGCGATGAACCGGTAAGGCGGATTATATCCGTTGTTGCCAAACACGAGTACATGATATTATTATTGAGACAGGGCGGCACTCAAACTTCCAAAGGGCTATAACTTTGTTACTTTAATTTTACCAGAAAAATGGTAAAGGAAAAAAACATTTCTTTTGATCAGATCTACTCACTGTTAAAATAAATGACTCAACTTCGAAGTCTGTATATATATAATATATGAAGGAACATAATTTCAAGCATTATCGGATATATATTTTCAGTGTATATAGAAAATTCTTCATTGGTTATTTTCCTAAAATCTGTAGAAATGATTTTCTAAAATTTATGAAGAAAATTTATTCTAGACATAATGGTTAAATTTGCTAGAAAAATATTAAAAAACATTCCAAGCATCTTCTGCATTTTGTAAATCAACTCCGCTGAAAAATAACAAATTTACTAATTATCAAATTTTTTTGTTCTCGATATGCCATCCCCATGTCAAAGCATATACATAATATGTGTAGTATGAATCCCATAAATATAAATTAATATGGAGAAATATATCCTTACACTTTCTTTAGCTACCTCCGCCCAAAAAAAACGCAGTTTGTTCAATATTTTGTATATATTTTCTATTAATTAAAAAATAAATATTTGCACGATAAAAAAATATTTTATATCCTAAGATAAAAAATATTTATTGAACATTTTATAGATAATATAATTTTCCATTGATTGAAAAGTAAATATTTAACGAATGTTATAAAAGAAATATTATATTTAAAATATTCAAAATATATTGAATAAATATTTAATAAAAATATTATAATCTAAATATTTTTTAAATATTTGTTTAAGGTAATAAATAATTCAGTAACATAAAAATATTGTTAAATTTTGAATGAGAATTTAATGAATTTTTGGTTCTATCGGGGTGCTTATCGTTAATATTTTTGTTTGGATGTAACGCATTAAACAACCGGACAGTGCTCTTGCAATGCTTCCATTTTGGTAATACAGTTTTGTTATTTCTACCCTTTCTTGAATTAAATAAGTCATTGTTCACTATTTATCACAACTAGGTAACTTATCAGTATTAAGTTAGTAGAATTCTATTATAAACTCAAACAGCTTCACAACTATTGAAGATAGTTATAAACTTTATTATACAAATGTTACTAAAAGCTTCATGGAAAATATAAAAATAAAAGAAAACTTAAAAATGTAACGCAATATCTTATTTTTGGATCGCCCTGTATTGCACGGCTATAGATAAAAAATGAAGTGTCCGAGGGTTTTTCTCAAAATATATCAGGAGGGTCACAAATGGGATGCGACCTTTTCCTTGGGCCACCCTGTATGTGAACAATACATAAACTAAAATATCTTGCTTTCTGCATACATTCAAAATATGTACTTCTCCGAAAGTGGATGACACTTAAAGTTTGAAAGCTAGATTTGACATCGCTGGCTTGGCTGGTCAAAATCAGCTTCTCCGATTTGTCTTCCTCGATATTTTTAAGAAATTTCTAGTGCGCCATTATATTCACTCTGTGCATTACTCCGTAAAGGTATTTGTTGCTGGTAGTACTGAATTTGCCTCTAATAGTCGATCCTGAAAGTTCGCGGAATGGAGGAGATGTGGGTTCGAGTCCCGCTAGCGCCAATTTTTCTTATCTCACTAAAATGTTGTGGATAAGAAAAATCTTATACCGGTTTCTGTCGTTGCTCGGTGGTACGGTGGTGTGTGCCCACGAGACAGCGTGGTGCAACTAGAAAGCGATTGCTTGACCTGCCACAACCACTTTTCATTAAATTTTGTAAGCGATGTGATTAGTCTTTGAACTGTATGCTAGCATTTAACGCTGTGTATTTTGCATTTTAGTACTACATAATACAGAGAAATAGTCCACGTTTAAATGTTTGAGAGCTATTTTGAACGTTAAATTGTTTTTCAGAATACAATCGCGAACTGGACGTGGGCATGGGTAATTGGCGGTTGTATGTACATCAGCAGTGGTTTAATTTTCATCCTGTTTGGCTCCACAAAACAACAAGAATGGAACAAGAAGAAAGAGGACGACGACGCTTGAAAGCTTTGGTCGCTTGTGTTCAATGAACTTTATTTCCGTACCTGTGATTTGTGTCATAAACTGTCTCTGATAATAATTGATGTGATCATCGTATCGTCACGTTGTCTTATAGATGTATTTGAGTGTAAAACTGTGTAAACTTATATATTTTTAAAACACCTTTTATTTCCTACACGTAAGCAATGAAAATATGTTTCTTGGACATATATATTTTGAGATGAAAAAAAAGTATTTTTCATGATGTCCTGTATCCTATCTGTTGTTAGGGGAGGGGGATGTATTCTACTCTACAAGATATTACAGAATGTTGTCAGGAAGATTTAGCGTGTTAAGATATGAAAAAAGATCAGGTAAGTATAAAAATTCTTTATTGTTATGAGGGGTGTTAAAACTTGAAACAAGGGCATTATCTCTTGAGCTGGGGATATCACGAACAACGGTTCAAAATATTTTGAAGGACCCTAGGTAGCGATATTTTCAAAAAGGTGATTTTATTCTGATGAATGAAAGAGAATTCCAGAGAAATTAGTTAAAAAAAATGTTTTAATGGATTTCTATATAAAATTTTCTTTGTACTAAATTTTAGGTTAGGAACAAGATTTCGAGATGAGGTTTTCACAAGCTTGTATAGAGATCATTTAGCTATTTTTTTTATAAAAAATCGTACCAATGCATTTAATTTTTTTGAAAAAATTAACCATTTCTGTCGTAATGTTGAAAAAGCGATCTAGCGGCCACATGTGAAACTAACAAAACTTCAAATATTAAAACATTTGTAGCCCAAGAATAGCTCTTTCGAACTAGCTCAATCTTGTTAAAATCGGGTCAGTTGTTTCGCAGATACGGAGACCTTTGTATACCCCCACCACTATTTTTAGAGATAGGTACAGCAAACATTGTCAAATAAAAAGTTCACAATATCCTCGATTTTAAAGATCAGATATCTTTTGTTGTTTATATAACGGAATTCACAGAAACACCACTTTTTTAGATTCAAGATTGCTGTTTCGCCCCCTAGTGGCCATTTCAGAAATTTGAAAATATTTTCCAGGTTTTTCTCTTGACCGTTTTAGTAAGGACTTTTTTTGCCGCAAAAATCTGCGATGGATAGGTCCTCAGGTATAGTACCTCGCATTGTTAGTTGATATTCGATAGTTCACCTAACATTTTTTATTTTTTTTTATTTTCGAGTGAACATTACAATCAAAGAAAATTCATGAGTTTCGGCACACACAAAAGTATATGCAAATGGTTACACATTTTAGTGGAACGAGTAGTAAGTGATGAACATGAAATGCAGGAATTTTTCCCATTTATCAGTACTTGATTGTACATACATTGCTTCTACATAACCATTCTTATAAGATTTAATTAATTAGAGGAAAATAATACCCCATACTGGTCTGTGTGTTTAAATGAAGACAGGGTGTGATTTCAAGGATAAGCAAATGTGTCAGGGTCATCCATTAGGTGATTTCATAAAGAATAATTTATATTCGATAGCAGTGACGACGCGTGATTTTTCCTGTTACCAAAAAAAGTTTATTTTGAACCTCCCAAATATAAGTTTTTGCTTTAGGTATTTTATTTAAACTATTTTTAAATTAAGATAAACATTCCTGGACTGAGCGTCTGGGGCACTTGATATACCTCATCATCTTATGCTATGACTAATCCAAGCCGTCCGAAAAAACAGTCCTCTATTGTCAAAGTCATCCACTTCAAAATGAACGGTAATTCCTGTTTTGCCAAAAAACATAAGGTATCTAGTGTGCTGCCTAAAAACTTGGTTAAGACAACTTTCGATTCTTGTCTTGCCAAACTGAATTAAATTGGCTACACATCTCACATGTAACGGAAAAATTTCATTTTTTTTTTTTATATCGAAACAGCCGCGCAGGCCGAAGCCTAAATGCCGGAACACCGCGGCTGCTATGATGATCCCAAAGAAATTTTGTTAATACGATTTTTGAACTGCCTAAGGTTAGTAGAACTGGGAAAAGCTTCCTCCCGTAGCTTGTTCCACAATCTAGACATCCTCGGGACAAAGGAGCGGTCGTATCGGCCAGTTCTGGATGTACGAAGTTTGACACGGTTAGGATGGGACGCCGAAGTCAGGCGGGTCTGTCTGGCAGGCACATCGCGCGGCGGCATCATGGAAGAGAGCTCTGAGGAGCAAAGCCCGTTGGTGTAGCGATAGAAAAGAGCTAGATCGCCGACGGCCGCCGGTGCGAAAGAGTCCCGAGACTGTCTGTTAGAGAAGAGTCATCGATCAGTCGGACCACCCTCCTCTGGACAGCATCGAGCATGGACAATGTAGTCGGGGCGGCAGCACCCCAAATGTGTGAGCAATACTCGAGGCTAGGCCTTATCTGGGCCTTGTATAGAGTGAGAAGGTCATGCGGAGAAAAGTACTTCTTAGCCCTAAACAAATAGCCTAGCTTTTTCCCAGCAGCTGCAGCTATTGAAGAGATGTGTTCGTGCCAGATCAGGTCCTCGGTGATCTGGACTCCGACCAGCCGAAATGAATGGCTCTTTGGTAGAACTCGACCGTCCATCGAAACTGTATGAGCGCTAGGACGCTTTTTGTTCGTCAAAGTACAGTACTGTGTTTTGGAAGCATTGAACTGTACAAGATTGTTGCGTCCCCAAGCAGTGATAGCCTCCAGGTCTCTTGTCAGAGAAGAAGTCGTCGCTAGTCTTCTTTTTTCCAGCTCAGCGGCAGAGATCGGCTTGTCACTCTGAATTCCTGCATGTAGAGTGCTGTCATCAGCGAAGCTGTGGATTGGGTTGATCGTGCAGGAAAGAAGGTCGTTGATATGTAAGAGAAACAGTGTTGGAGCCAAGACCGATCCCTGGGTAACACCCGCGTTAACGTTGTGGGATGAAGAGGAGAATCCATCAATTACGACGGATATCTTGCGGCCAGAGATAAAGTCAGCCACCCATCTGCAAAGCTTTTCTGGGAGGCCGTAGGATGGAAGTTTGCTTAAGAGGGCAGCGTGCCATAGCTGATCGAACGCTTTCGTGATGTCAAGAGCAACGACATGAGCCTCACCATGAGACTGGATGAGTTTACTCCACAGTTGCGTGACGTGGGCTAGGAGGTCCCCTGTGGATCGTTGGTGCCGGAAACCGTACTGCCTGTCGCTAATCAAGCTGTGACGTTCGAGGTAGTCCAGAAGCTCGCGATTTATGCACCTCTCCATCACTTTACTTATAACAGAAAGTAGAGCTATAGGCCTGTAGTTGTAAGGGTCGGTTTTAGATCCTTTTTTTGGGATGGGCTGTACATGAGCAAATTTCCAGTTTTCTGGGAAGGTGCCGGATTCATAAGATATCTGGAAGAGACGCGAAAGAACTGGAGCAAGCTCCGCTGCACATCTCTTCAGTACAATGGCAGGAATCAAGTCCGGACCAGAAGCTTTGTTGATGTCGAGCGACAAGAGCACTCGTCTTACGGTCTTATGCCTGAATGTTACTTCCCGCATAGTGTGGGGAACCCTTTGAATTGACGGCACTTGGGCGTTGGTGGGGACGTCCATGGTGGAGTTGGCAGCAAAGATCTTGGCTAGCACTTCCGCCTTGGCCTTTGAGTCGAATACAATAGTTCCATCCTGACACGTAAGTGGTGGAAGGCTACTGTGTGAGAAGTTCTTTTCAATCTGCTTGGCCAGCGTCCAGAAAGACCGACTGCCATTGCGCTGCGACATTACCCTGTGCCTAACTTTTATATCATGCTGGTTTTTGGTATTTCGAACCGCTTCGTTATATTTGTTTCTGGACTCGACGTCGGCTTGTCTGTTCTCTACAGTGGGGTTTTGTAAGTAGGTTCTGTGGGCCTTGATCTTCTGCTGGCGAGCAGTGTCACACGATTTGTTGAACCAGCCGTTGGACCCTGGTTTAGGAACTTTCACTGTGTGAGGGATGTATTCCTCCATTCCGACGTGGATAATTTCGGTTATTGAAGAACAGACAGTCGACGCATCCGCGTCAGTGAAACAGACATCTCTCCAAGGAAAGCTAGAGAAGAAGTCTCTGAGCCCCTCCCAGTCGGCATGTCCGTAATGCCAAGTTTTGCGGCCTGTGCGAGTTTCTGCTGCCACAGCGGCTTCTGACCGAAACCTAACCTCCACAACACCGTGATCTGAGTTACCCAGGGGGGACAGGACAGCAGTGCTGTAAGGGGCAGGATGCGTGGTCAGAAAGAGATCTAGCAAGCTACTGGCGTGTGACGAGACGCGGGGGAAAAAAGTAGGGCTCGTCACCAGCTGGGTCAGCCCTTGAGTAAGAGCGAACGCTTCGAGTGCACGACCTGCTGCATCAGTCTTATTTGAGCCCAACCAAAGCTCATTATGGGCATTGAAATCACCGAGAAGAACTACCTCTGAAGCGGGGTGATTGATGTTCAGGAAGTCGATCTGGACGGCGAGGTATTCGAGTAGGTCATCCCAGTTATGGTTCGAGGGAGAGCGATAAAGGCAGCAAATAAATTTGGGTGATGTTTTGGAGTTGAGGCGAAGCCACAGAATGTCCTTCCGGTCTGATTCCAAAGAAAGATCCCTGGAGCAGGAAAGACTGCTGCGGACAAAAGCCACAACTCCCCCGTTCTTTCTCAGATTGGAGTGCACCTCGTAGTTTGGGAAGTTGAGATGGTTAATCGGTGCAGTCTCTGAGATTTTTGTCTCCGCCAAGAAAAGCACGGCGGGACGATTGGATTGCAGGTAGTGATGAACAGCATCAATGTTGCTGTTGATCCCGCAGATGTTCGAAAAACAAATTTTATCTTCGATGTTGTTCCCTCGAGCCCACCCTCCACCCGGACATTCCGAGAGTGGAGTGAGTTTACGTCCGGAGTTTTTAGTGCTCGAGGGATCCATCATCATTAATTTCATTGTTTTGGTAGATAACCGACTGCATAGCTTAGGTGTGGAAACATGCGGACATTTATAAGACACCCTGGGAAAAGCTAGCGGGTGGTACTGCCTCGGTCGACTGGTCCTTGGCTACCACCTTCTTTTTACGTGTTAGTGATGTTAAATAGACCTAAAGTGGCCCGTTGGCGGACTTGTACCGCCACCCGGCAATCGGTACTGAGGTATTCCTTAACGCGTGCACAATCACTTGGACGGGAAGAAGTTGTATACTGGATACAACAACGTCCGGAACAAGCATTTGCCACGGCCCTCGCTCAGTAGGGGCATAAGCATATGTATATGGATTTACGGTTTGAAAGGAATGTAAACAAAATCATTCATTTATTAAACTTCTAAAAACAATTCCTATGTAGGTTGTATATGACCAGGAGGAAAAGGGTTTGGTTTATGTTTCGCCAGTTGCCTGTATTGTCCTTTGACAAGCTCCAGTTGCGTAGTAGTTTCATACCGTATACCAAATTCTTGACAAGTCTCGAAAAATTCTGGATACAAATATTGTAGATAACCATGGTCGATCGTCGGGAACAGATGATGCAGAGTGTGATCGCCAAAATTCGTGAGTACTAAAAAGTATGAACTGTTGATGTCTTTTCTGTCGCGTACAGCATCTATCTGGAATATTCCCCAGTCCATTTGGTCTTTAGGCCTAAAAATTACGCAAATATTTATATAATTCATGAATGGTTCAACAAATGACAGCTCAACATTTTTTCATTTGAGGAAACAAGATATTATCAAAATTTCAAGCAGGATTCAGAAAAAATATAATACTGAAACAGCAATTCTGCTGTTAAAAGAGAGGTAAAGTATGGATGAAAAAAGGTTTACAGTAACATTGTTCTTGGATTTCAAGAGGGCATTGAGACTATTGACAAGGGGAAATTGTTAACGAAATTGCATTACTATGGACTTAAAGGTTCAGTATTCAAGATATTGCAAAGTTATTTAATCAATAGAAGTGAAAAACTAAAATTGGCAATACACTATCAAGCATTAAAAACATTTCGGTAGGTGTGCCACAGGGTAGCGAATTAGGTCCATTACTATTTATTTTATATACTAACGATATTCCTGACGTTTTAAAACACTGCAAAATTCAATTATTTGCAGAAGATACATATATATATATATATATATATATATATATATATACTAAGTGACATATAAATCCGAACACCCAGTTTAAATGGTTTTATTTTAATAAAATTTTGTATAAGTACTTAATGAAGCATAATAAGTAAATGATAAAAATTTCAAAATGATTGCACTGCTTTAAAGCCCTTTGACCTTTAATAATGTGTGGATGCACCCTGATGTGCTACGCATCCTCCAACGCGCCTAGGCATGCTTCTGATCAGGTGGTCAATGTCCTCCTGTGGTATCTCATTCCAGGCAACCACCAACTCCTCTCGAAGTGCTTCTAGAGTCTGAGGAGGACGTTGCAAATTGAGCAATCTCCTACCCATCATATCCCACACGTGCTCAATTGGGGATAAGTCGGGAGATCTTGGTGGCCATGGTAACAATGTGACATCATTATGTTGAAAGAAGTCTATTGTGACTCTTGCAACATGTGGTCGGGCATTATCTTGTTGGAAGGTTGGATCTGCCAGGGTGTCAAGATAGGGTAAAAGATGGGGTTCCAGAACTTCGTGGATATAACGCTGCGCATTCATGTTACCTCTGATGAAGATTAAAGGTGACCTGGAACCATAAGCTATAGCACCCCAAACCATAACTCCAACAGTGTGATGAACATGTCGTTCAACAAAAAACTGTGGATTCCTCCTTTTACCACGTCGCCTTCTAGCCCTGGCACGATCATCGTGCATGCCTAAACAAAATCGAGACTCGTCACTAAAGACAATACTGTTCCATTCCTGATCCCAGAGTGACCGTTGTCTGCACCACTCAAGGCGATTACGTCGGTGTTCTCGAGTTAAAGGGAGGACCCAGTGTGGCCGGTATGAAAACAAGCCAAAACTTCTCATTCGTCGGTAAACACTTCGCATGCCAATAGGTCTTCCATGTTCTGCAAACCATTCATTTGCAATAGACCTGGTAGTGGAGAAACGGTCCCTTAAGGCCAATAATCTTAGGCGGCGATCTTCACGGTCTGTTGTTCTACGGCGGCGTCCAGTGCCCCTTGCTCTTTGCGTACGGCCTTCTCGAAGCCATGCCTGACAACACCTAACCACTGTGTCTACACTTCTTTGCACTCTAACTGCAATTGCCCGAAAAGAAAGTCCAGCTTCCCGAAGTCCCACTATACGGCCCCTATCAAACTCACTAAGTTGACGAAATCGTACAGGTCTTCGTACTCTAGGCTTCGTAACCGATCGTAAAGGATGTCAATAACCAAAATCCGCCAACGTTGATTCTTTACTGCGGCTGAAATATTCATTTTTAGAGCGTTAGTGAATTAAAAAAAAGCAGTATAAAAACCGGAATGTCCAACTGATAAGGCTGAAAATTCTTTCACTTGTTGTTTACAGTAAGATAAATACATTCACCAACTTTTATTAAAATAAAACCATTTAAACTGGGTGTTCGGATTTATATGTCACTTAGTATATATATTTATATACAGGGTGGCGCATCGATTACGAAACATACGTATTTACTGGCAGCTCAGTTTTATTTTGGAAAAACGCTCAGACCTGTCGATTTTGTTTCCGAGCGGGACACAAGTTTGGCAAAAAATCACGTTAACACGTGCAGCCCCCTGAGCGGGGGTGACACCACCCCAAAAATCTTAAATGGAAAGGGGGGTCGAGTGATACCTTGTTTTAAAGGTCTTTCAATGCCTTTTATAATGATGTAAAATACATGAGCTTCAGTTCAGTAGTTTTGAAGATTTATTGATTTAAAGCTTAAAGTAGAGTTTAATAGGTACATCAGATTAGTTTGTACTACTTTCGGAAGAAATTTGACTAAAAGAATTTACGTAATAATTTTGTGGTTGAAAATAGCTATTGGAGAATTTGTCTGCGATCTTGACTTGGTCTTACTTTTTTTTTATTATTCGCGACATTCTGTTTTTGAAATCTGTTTATCAAATAGAAACTTAAGACGTTTTGAAGTGATAATAACTGAACATATTGCACAGGATATACTTCACAGACTCATGTACCAGTCTTAAGTAAATAACAGGCTGCAATACCGAATTTTTGGATAAGATTCGCTCAAGTTGTGGAAAATTTGCAATTCAGGCATTTTATTCCAATTTAAGTGGTGGCTTTGAAAAAATATGAAGTTCAAGTCGAGTATATATTCCCAAAACAATTATTTGTTGGGTAAAATCGACATCAGAGCAAAGCATAATGATTCCGCTAGAGTAATAAAATTTTTGATATCGATTTTTTGATGGGTGATCGCTGATCTATTCAAAATATGATGAGTATAAAATTATTTGTACCGAGTAATATTTAGTGCAATCATTGATTGGTTGCGGAAAGTAAATTATACATATTGTAGAAATAATTATAGGAATGTTGCGTATGCTAAGTTCCTTGCATATGTTAATAGTGGGCAGATATTGATATGTACGCCATTTACGTAGAACACACAATTCTCTTAGATCTTGAAGATTCTTTATGTTGACAACTTCCATTAATATAGAAATGAATGGAGGGTAGGTAAACGTAAAACCGAAGAATGCTGAATTATTTGTTGTGTGTTGGGATCTATATCTACGAGCCCCTTCCCACTTCAGTTGGCCCAACTATTGAAATCTTAGTTTTTTTTCTTATAAAACACAAATAATAAAAATGTAGCAGGGTGTTATAGGTTTAAAATATTAACAATAGATATTTTGATAATATATAGTAGAAAACACCAACTTTATCACTCCCTAGTCAAATTTGCAGCATAAAAATAACACATGTTGCAATTACAGCTTATCAACCTATTTCCATTTCAATGCAAAATAAGTCTATAACGCATGGGCGGCTGTGAAAAATGAAAGCCATGACAATTGTTTTTATTAACCAGAGCTGTCAGAATACGTTTAAAATAGTTTTGGCTAGTTAAGGTTTTCAAAATCGGTAGAGGAAAGGTTATTAGTGAGAAAATTTGGTTACTGATAATTAAATTTTTTAATTATGGGAAATCAAACTCAGAAATTGCAACTTTGTTAGACTTATCGCGGTACAGTGTGAGAAATATTGATAGAAGATATAACGTAACTAGTTCAGTTAATATTAAGCTACGATATGTGAAAAAAAGTAATATCACAAATGCCGACCGAAGAGCATTAAGAAGAATAATTGTGAAAATCAGGGGTGCCAATTATTTACAGTTAAGTGCTCTGTGGAGTGACGCTGTTGGAAGCAGAATTTCGAGGTCCACAACTCATAGAGAGGCCCACAAACTGGGATTTAGCACTTGCTAGGTAAATTTTCTTATAAAAAAAGTGAAGTAAAAACCCTAAAGTTGCACAACTTGTTTATAGGCCAAAGAAAAGCCACTATTAACTCCACTGCAAAAGAAAAATCGGCTTAGATGGGCTAAAGAACAAAGACAATGGACACCTCAACAATGGTGTGCAATACAATGGAGTGATGAGGCCCGATTCGAAGTTTGTGTTGGTGACAGTCGCAGTAGAGTTATTCGCAAAAAAAAATGAAGCATTCCATATTGACTGTTTGAAGAGAAAAGTGAAATTTCCAGCATCCATTATGGTCTGGGGCAGTATGCCATCAAAAGGAGTAGGAAAACTTCAATTTATTGATGGAAATGTGGATAAAAACAAATATTTGGCAATTTTAGAAGAATCGCTTTTACCAGTGATGGAAGAATGTTTGACATCCGACCAAGATTTTGTGTTTCAGCAAGATGGTGCAGCGTGCCATACTTCAAAAAAGGCTATAAAATGGATGGAAGAAAATCATGTACCACTTTTGAAATGGGTTTCTAGCAGTCCCGATTTGTCACCCATTGAAACTTTGTGGCACGAGATGAAAAAGGATCTACGATAACATCCTGCTCGTACAATCACCGAACTGAGACAAACGCTTCAAGAAATATGGGATTGTTTTACACCAAATTTTTGCCAAAACTTGGTTAACACTATGCCTCAAAGAATTTCAGCCGTAATAAAAAATAAAGGTGATGTTACCCAATGGTAATCTTTCAATTTTGTTAAGTTCGCGCATTTATTCGCACATTGTTTATTTGTTCAGATGTTCTATCAGTTATAGGTCTAAGTGATTTCAAATATGTATTTTTTACGACTAGAGTGTATTTAAAATGTTTTTGAGAAAATAAATCTTGAAATGGGCCAACTGAAGTGGGAAGGGGCTCGTAGATGTCTATATGTATACTAAGTAACATATGAAATGCAACACCCAGAATTATAAAAAAACGATTTTTGGAGTTTGTCTAATAAATTGTTTGAAGAATTTTTGATTTAAATTTGAGCCTGGCAACAAGCAGAATCATCAAAAGGTCCCTTTTTGAATAAGAATATGCAAAAAATATTCCCATCAGATGCGAAGGTCTTACTCGGACTATCTGTATATTCACCTGGGAGTATCTCCGTCATGGAATATATCCGGGTGATGATGTGCAGCATTAACCCCGACTATTCCAAAATAGATGCTGCTTGTTATGATGATCCAGAAAAACATAATTGTACAAAATATCACAGATTCGTTGGTGAAAGCAATCATAGCTCCCAAAACCGTGAAAGGCAGAAGCAGACTCAATGGTATTTTTTCACCTAATATCAATGATTGTATAATTCTGAAATAAAATATAAATTACTTAGGATAAAAATGCATTACAAAAAAAGAAATACTAACAATAGCTACATGTATCTGGTACTTACGCTTTCAGATAAAAGGCTATATACACAAAGGCGTATACTATAGGTGAATATATCCATGACGCAAATCTAAAGATCAAGCTCTTTTCTGTCGGCAAATATTGCAGAAATGGCTCCAAAGCACTAATTTCTAGATCATACACTGTATTTGTGTATAAGTGATGACTCAAGGCGTGACTTATTCTCCATTCTCTAAAATAATTCATTATTTGATTAGTCGATTTGTAGAGGAAACCAAACTGCTGATGCCTTTTGAAATTCTTAGAACCATTATAAACACAGTTATGATACATAGCAAAGTAACATTTTGGAAACGGGAAGAAAGTAAAAGTAAGATATGAGTTCTTTTTCTATACACTGAAAACCAAATTTGTTCAATGTTCAGGTTCGCCACAAATTCTGTAACATTGCATCATTGGTTCGCTTCAAAATAAATTGCACATTAATTGGCACTTTTTCTCCTCTACAAGATGGCATAATTAGAATTCCAATCTGGTGTTTAGTCTTTTGTCGTCCAGCATAAACTTTAACTTTCCATATAAACGCCATATTGAATTTTTGGAGAGATTAATAGAATTTTTCATTCTGATTTCAAAAAAATATTTGTCAAAACAATGACATTGCTAAATCTAAGTTATTCCAGAAATTTCCTAGGTTGGCCTGGAAATTATCAGATTTGATTTGTTTTTTTAGACCAGACCAGACCTCAAATTGAACATAGCAACCGACTTTGGAAGACTGAGAAGAAGAGAAAAAAATCGCGCAGTCACGTTGTGCTCAGGTTTCACCATACATTTTTATTTCCTTATAATTTTCATCCAACAGCAAATTCGAGGTCAACTTAGAAAATACATCAATGAATTTAGAACTGAAAAGTCCATTTAAATGTAGATATTCCAATATAGCGTTCATATCTAAATATAATTCTGAATTTAAATACTTACTTATGCCGCATCATTGTGAAATCAAAATAATACATCCTGAAGTTATCTCTTTGATGGAAAAAATTGTGTGCTGCTATTGCTGTTAAGGCCAAAACTATTCCTGCGACTCCACCGATTGCAAAACTTCTGAAATATGCCGCAAGAATTGCGAAGCCTATATAAGAGAAAACTATGACAAAACTACCAGCAAATTAGTAATTAATAATTGTTAATTGTATACAAGTGTAAATTAGAAATTTCGATAACCCCCAACTCCAAAAAATTGAGCAGATTTTCTTGAATCACAGGACACTCCCAATTAACTTACCTATATAAGAGATTAATAAGAAATCAGTTATATGTTTTGATCTATCCGATGAAGTTTTTGGCAGCGTTTTTAATTTCTCGTAAATTTTTCTTTTCAACAAGTTATAAAATCCGTTTTCGTTGAAAGTAAAAGGTGAGTTTCTTGGCACTTTTGCATCTCTGACTAGATACTGTGGAAGCAAAGTGGAAGGTACTGCAGATATATGATGAGATTCGAAAGCTTCCGTTATATCTGTTCCCTGAAAAAAAAAAAATATATATATATATATATACGAGTATATAAAGAGAATATGATCATGCGGAGAAAGGTATATAACAATAAGTAGGAACATAATGGGCAAAATCCGCAAAAAGGAGGAGAGTGGATTCGAGCAGAAAGTAGGATAGGTAACCCGAGCGATACGTATTTCTGCTGGTTGGCTTCATTCGAATCCACTTTCCTCCTTTTTGCGGATTTTGCCCATTATGTTCCTACTTGTTGTTATATACCTTTCTCCGCATGATCATATTCTCTTTGTAGATCCTTTGGGCCTGAAGTACCACAGCAAGTGGCTATAACCGGCCGCGTGGTGGTGGTTAGACGTCTCCTTGAAAATTCGAGGTCGTATAGCCATTTTATACTACAATGTGTAGGTTGGATCTTGTTGTGGACTTCGTGTGTCGTTTTTGTTTTCCCTCCAACTTCGTTTCCTCAGGTTACACCCGTATCCGGATGTGTGTGCACGTGTATCTACTTTTGTAGTTTCATATGTGCATTCATTTCGGGCCTGATGAAGCCAACCAGCAGAAAGACGTATCGCTCGGGTTATCTATCCTATTTTCTGCTCGAATCCACTTTCCTCCTTTTTGCGGATTTTGCCCATTATGTTCCTACTTGTTGTTATATATATAGTATTCATAGTTAATTGCCTTAACTGTTAGGAGAAAATATACTTGAATTTCTTTGGGTAGAAGGCAAAGTTTTGCATAAGTACACTCTTATAACTTTCGATGGTCTATGCCATCATCGTATGGAGCTAAAAAATAATTTTTGAAAAATAGCAACAATAAGCAATTAGGAGGAAAAAATATAATTACTTAATAAGTCGGCGAGATTGTTGCTGAAATTGTTCTTAAACGACAGTGAAAGGTGACGAACGAAGCAATGGTAACAACAATCCCAACCTTTCTCACAACAACAATGACAATCATTCTAACAATACAGATATTTCCTCCATTTCCAGAATTAACTTTGCAATCCTGCCATATGATAAAGACCTAACACTAAAACTTTCTAGATTGTGCAACACTTTAAATTGTCGTTTAAGAACAATTTCAGCAACAATGTCGCCGACTTGTAAGTAATTATATTTTTTCCTCCTAATTGCTTATTGTTGCTATTTTTGAAAAATTGTTTTTTAGCTCCGGACGATGATGGCATAGACCATCGAAAGCTCGAGAGTGTACTTATGCCAAACTTTGCATTCTACCCAAAGAAATTCAAGGTTATATATATACATATATATATTGACTTGAGACATGGTCATTGTCGTCTAGACCAGTTAGGTGAAAAATAAAGCTTCCGAATTTTGTTGGGTACTTCGACAAAATTCAAGCAATGAGGACTCTTTATACTTTACTAGTCTCTAGCTTTCAATGGACTTTGCCATCATCATCAGGAGCTGCAATAGCATGAAGAACAACTCCATTGATAGCTAGAGACTAATAAAGTATAAAGAGTCCTCATTGCTTGAAATTTGTCGAAGTACCCAACTAAAGGTGGAAGCTTTATTTTTTACCTATATACATCCACCCTATCAAAATATCATTAACATATTGCGAGACAGTAACCAAATTAGTGACGCTTGAAAAAACCATGCTTTGAAACGGAAACTTGGCTACAGATCAAGGGATAAATGTGGTCATACAGAATCATTTAAAATACTTTTGAAACATTTGACAAAGTGAATATGGCTCTATAGATTTCAATATCATTCAAACCGCCACTTTTGTGTAGGGGACAGATCTTTGCCGTTTTCCAAGCTGTTGGAAATTTTGAAGAACTGGGGAGCTGAAATGAAACCACAAGTGCTGAATTGAAATACTTATTTACGTTTCTGCTACCTTAGTGATACTTTGAAAAAGGTCAACAGGTTGGCGGTCAGCAAAACATGAAGATTGATCAGACTTTCGTTGTCTCATAATGTTTGCCCAAAATGAGCCTGTATTTAACATTTTTTATATTAAAATGGTACGTGCAATGAGTTGACAACTTGGATTAAAACTCTCTTACCTTTGTTAGCCTTAACCAGTCTTTACCTCCAGGATGATCATGAACAAAATCACTGAAGTCGTACAACTGATCATGAATCCTCCATAGTCCTTCTGCTCCATCATCAATACGTTTGCTCTCCAGCCACATATGTCCATTGTGTAAAGGGTGATCTCTGAATTTTGGATACTTTATCCCAAGACTGCTGAGTTTGTCTAGACTTTTATCGTATTGTTTCTGTTGATATAACTGTTTCAGAGAGCTTATTTCGTTTTGCACGATGCTGGTTAGGTGTTCGATATGTAGCCCGTTCATGTCTAATAAACGAATACGTTTAAAATATAGAATGTTGATAAACTGTCGAATCTAGTCATGTTTGGAAATAGTAAACATTCAGTTAAATTGCATAGAAATATAGCAAACGACATAACAAAATCGAGAAATACGTGGGAAGTGGCATATTTTTGATAATACTGCAAGGTATCGCGTACCAGCAAGCGTTTGTTATTTGTAGGTAAATGTAAACTTTGATGAGCACAAGCATTCGGACAACGATTAAATATAGTTTTTTTTATGATGATTTATTTTTGGTCACGACTTGTGAATCACCCTGTATAAAAAAGTCTACATAAATACGCAATGTAGCAAATAAGAAATCCATTGTGCCTGGAATCTTTATATCTAATACATCGATCTAACATAATTAGTGATTTGAGCTAAAATTACAAAAATCCGTAACACTTAACATTCAATGTACACTTCAAAACGTTAAAATGTTTACTACGTTGTCTCACGCTTTCTGGAAAACATCAGTACGGTGTAGGTCTAGACATTTGGAGATATAGCGGAAGGCTATAGGTCTACGAAAAATAAGCGTGATACTGCCACCCATGAATAGCTTCACCAGTCACATAGTTTGCCATTGCTGGAAGCATGGTGAGCACTTAGGTAAAAAGATAATATACAGGGTGGCCTATCCATGTGTGGACGGAACATTGCTCATAAACAAATACATTTTGGATAAATCTATTTATGGCCTGTTATACATGACATTTGAAGGCACATTTCTAAAATATTGGCAATTACACAGGGTGTCCCAATTTTGACCTACATATCAAAGTTGTAATTTCTTAAATGGAATGCCTCAAATTTTATTGCATATTTGAATAAAGCAATTTAAAAGAAGAATATTGATATAACAACTGTTTTGTCCAGAAAAACTGTCCACTTCGGCAACCCCTCAGACCGCCATTTTGAAATTTGGAGTGCTGAATTGGAACACCCTCTATAATTGCCGATATTTTAGAAATGCGCCCTCATATGTCGTGTATAACATGCCATAAATAGATTTTCCTAAGACGCATTTGTTTATGAGTAATATTCCGTCCGCACACGGATGGGCCACCCTGTATATGTAAACAACAAACCCGCCTCAGCAGATTGCGAAGTACGACAAGTACCATTTAATGATATTTCAAGGGTAGCACGCAAACGACTCATCTTGGGCTTCATAGTCAGGACAATATAAATGTCACTTACTTGGTGACGTAACGACATCCGGGTTATCCTCCCTTGGATTGATAGGGGCGGCGCGGTAGAACTGGATTATCGGGCCTACCCCATTTTTGAGGAAAAAACAGAAGCACCTTCAATATTCGACCGACTCATGACAAATCTATTACCTTAGGATTACGTTAGTTATCCCCTGTGGTATCAATCCGTCATCCAGGGAAAACCAAATTTGACTGATAGCTTGAGTTTAATGTGTACGAGAGAGAGAGAGAGAGAAGAGCGAGAAGTGTGTATGTTAGAAAGAGATAGAAGCCGGTCGGCCAGCGAAGGATATCACCACATTGCCCAGCAACGGCGACGCAGAAGAGCGTACAATCTGCCGCGTTGCCAATCTGTTACACGAGTTCCTTGAATTACGATGCATATTGAAAATAAATCTGTTTAGGATCGATTCCGGATATTAATTTTAGGTAAAGCATGTTCGCCTGCTTTAATCAAAATTTTAAACATAATGATCCAAATTAACCATAACAAAATTGAGGTATCTGTAATTTATCGTCCGCCATGTTCAGAACCCCACGAGTTTTTGAAAAATATCGAATTTTTTTTCAAAATCAAAATAAAGTTCATTTAAAGCAACATATTTTCTTGGGAGATGTCAATATAAATATTTTGGACAATGATCCCATCACAAATGAATACTTGAATATCCTATCAAGTAACGGATTTCTGTCCTATATAAACCTACCTACAGGTCCATCAGTGGCACATCTATAGATCACTGCTTTGTGAAAGACCTATCCAACAAAATTACTTGTATACCAATAATCCTATAAAGCGATATTACTGACCACTTCTCCACTATTTTACTGATATCTTCAAATGAAAAACATCCCTACCGTTAATAACAACCAGGAAAATTACAAATTTTTTGTCGACAATTCAAAACTAATATCAAATGTCAAACAAGAATCCTGGGAACAATTATACCCTATAAATAATATAAACAAAGCAACGGGACTGTTCATAGAGAAAATAAAAAAACTAGTAGATATTAGTACCAATAAAGTAATAGTTAGTCACAAAGAGAAAAGCAGAAATGCCTGGATTACCAAAGGATTAATAACATCGGCAATAGAAAAAGAAAGACTATATAATGTAATGAAACTAACGCCAACTACAGAGAATACCGACTGTTACAACCAATATAAAAATAAATTTATAGAGCTTGCAAGGCAAACCAAACGAAAACATTACCTAAATATATTGAATAATAACTTAAATGATCCTAAGCGGCTTTGGACAACTATTGATGAGATTACTGGGAAAACAAAATTTAAAGAGTGTGTCACTGAGTTAAATACAACATCGGGAACAGTATTAAAAAATACTCAACAGATATGCGATGAATTTGTACAATTCTTTACTGACATAGGCGAAAATTTAGCAAGTAATATACAAGCAAACGTACAAAATACTCAGCCTCCAAAAAGAACTTTGAACTCATTTATTTTGGATAAAGTCGAACAATGTGAAGTATACACCACTGTTATGTCCTTAAAAAATCGGAAAAGTCCTGCGTTCGATGGTATTAAAAGCGAGCATTTGAAAATTATAGCCGAGGACATAACAGAACCACTCACTTACCTAATCAACAAATGCTTTAAATCTGGCATATATCCCTCAATTTAAAAAAAAGGTAATATAATACCGATACATAAATCAGGAACAAAAACAGATGTTAACAACTATAGACCAATATCAATAATATCCAGTATAGCAAAGGTTTTTGAAAAAGTTTTATCTACTAGAATGATTCGATACCTCACAAAATTCAAAATTTTAAGTGAAAATCAATATGGATTTACAGAAGGGAAGGCTACATCGGACGCAATAACTAAAATTGTAAATCAAATACATCAAAATATTGATAACAGAATCCCTTCAATCTGCATTTTTGTTGATTTAAAGAAAGCTTTCGACACAGTTAATCACAAATTATTATTAGAAGCATTGGAGAGAATTGGTTTCAAAGGAAACGCGTACTCACTGATCGAAAGTTATTTGTCAAATCGCCCACAATCTGTACAGATATCAGGATCATTTAGTAAAGAAATGTATATTAAGTGTGGTGTCCCACAAGGAACTGTCTTAGGTCCGCTGTTATTCAATATATATTTAAATGATAATTTCCAAATTAATTGTGTTGGCAAAATAACTAGTTTTGCAGATGATACTGCAATATTATATGAAGGCACTGACTGGTCTGATCTGAAAAATATAATTGAAAATGATTTTATCAAAATTATTCGGTGGTTTAACAGTAGAAAATTAAGCATTAACTACTCTAAAACACATTTTTTACCATTTGGATCTTATGCTAGACATCTGCCAAATTACACAAATTTCTCCTTCAATATTAATGATCAAAAAATGCAAATTAATAGAGTGCCCAACATAAAATACCTTGGAGTGGTCTTGGATCCTCACTTACGATGGGACATCCATGTCAATTATATTTTAAAGAAAGTTAGATTTGTATCCTACAAAACTAAATACCTTGGGAATATATTGACAGAAAAATATCTTCGAACATTATACCATGCACTGATTGAGCCTCATCTCACATATGGTATATTAGCATGGGGAGCTGCATGTTCCTGACATATCTATAATTTAGATGCTTTTCAAAAAAGTATTCTAAAAATGATATTTAAAAAACCGAAACTTTATCCCACTGAAAAATTATATGCAGATGTTGGAATGTATGATATAAGACAGCTTTATTTCTTACACAGTATCACTCACTACCATAAATTTGTAAACACCGACCAAAAAATTAAACATAATCATTATACCAGGTACAAAATTCGTGGCACAGTAGTTCCTCAACCGCATAAATCTATAATGATACAACACAAATAGAAAAAAGCTCGTATATATTTGTGGTCACAATTGAAGCTAATTCTAGGAAAACCATTGAACATTATCGAATTATTTTTTCGAACTATTATAAGTAAAATTGCTAGCAAAAAATTCTATTAAAACTTCATCATAACAATTATGTCATTCAGTCAAACTCTGTAGAAAGTTGCGATGTGACATGTTTATCTTGTCGAGGTAAAAAATCAACATTTACGTGCATAATCAAATATAACAACAGAGAAAACAAAAATGTCAACAACAAAAACTGTGAAACCCTTGCCGAAACGTCTAAATATCAGTCAGTGAAAAAGATCCCGGAGAAACCTTATGGGGAATGGTTTTCGAAAAAATCTTAAAAAATTGTATGTTGTAGATCTTACATTTTAAAACGTAGTACAAAAGTGTATATGCGTCCAAAGTTTTTCTACGAGTAGTTTCCGAGATATAATGGATCCAACTTTGGTAGTCCGATCCGTACCCTATTACAGTGGATTATGGATTCCACGCAAAATATGTAATAGTTGTTTGAAAAAAAAAATAAAATAAAATCTCTCTATGTTGAACAATTTTTTCAGACTGGTATACATTTTATTGCAATTAATCTCTTTTATAATTTTTTAACCAATTCTGTTCATTATTTATCTAAATTTGACTTTATTAACTCTTTACCTTTTATTGCCACTTTGTGTTTCATGTTTGTCTTATTTACGTATTGTTTGTTATTTTTACTTACTCTTTTACCTTTTCAAAGACCGTTCTATGTCCTGCACCGTTCCTGTGGGAATCTGTATTACAGAAATATGCAGCAATATACAGAGTGTTCCACTTATGACCTTGATAACAAAGTTGCTTTTTAGATAGATAACTATAGTTTGATGCCTTAATTGGATATATCTTGATACTCGTCAAGTAGTTGTAAATATGATATTTGTGTACTTTGAACCTCCACCTCTTTAATAGACAGAGCACTGAATTTTATGTAAGAAGGCATAGCTTCAGTTGCAACCTAGTTGAGACTTCTCTTGAATTTTTCGAACCACATAACACATAATTCATTGTATCTTAAAACATTCAAGGACACTCTGTGCATTCGCACATTTTTAAATTCCAGTATTTCTAAGTTCTTTAAGATGTCCACTTAAGTGTATTAACGTGACGAAATTAGGGGAATCTATTCAAAAATGCATTTTGTTTTCACTCTGCGGATAAGATACGACACCTACTTTCATATATTTTCTTTTTTGGTAAAAAGGATAAGAACATAGGTCTAACCAAATATCTAACAAAAAATATCAATGTCTATAGAAAATAATTTCAATATCCATCTCAGAAGCGGAACATTATATATACTAAGTGACATATAAATCCGAACACCCAGTTTAAATGGTTTTATTTTAATAAAATTTTGTATAAGTACTTAATGAAGCATAATAAGTAAATGATAAAAATTTCAAAATGATTGCACTGCTTTAAAGCCCTTTGACCTTTAATAATGTGTGGATGCACCCTGATGTGCTACGCATTCTCCAACGCGCCTAGGCATGCTTCTCATCAGGTGGTCAATGTCCTCCTGTGGTATCTCATTCCAGGCAACCACCAACTCCTCTCGAAGTGCTTCTAGAGTCTGAGGAGGACGTTGCAAATTGAGCAATCTCCTACCCATCATATCCCACACGTGCTCAATTGGGGATAAGTCGGGAGATCTTGGTGGCCATGGTAACAATGTGACATCATTATGTTGAAAGAAGTCTATTGTGACTCTTGCAACAGGTGGTCGGGCATTATCTTGTTGGAAAGTTGGATCTGCCAGGGTGTCAAGATAGGGTAAAAGATGGGGTTCTAGAACTTCGTGGATATAACGCTGCGCGTTCATGTTACCTCTGATGAAGATTAAAGGTGACCTGGAACCATAAGCTATAGCACCCCAAACCATAACTCCAACAGTGTGACGAACATGTCTTTCAACAAAAAACTGTGGATTCCTCGTTTCACCACGTCGCCTTCTAACCCTGGCACGACCATCGTGCATGCCTAAACAAAATCGAGATTCGTCACTAAAGACAATACTGTTCCATTCCTGATCCCAGAGTGACCGTTGTCTGCACCACTCAAGGCGATTGCGTCGGTGTTCTCGAGTTAAAGGGAGGACCCAGCGTGGCCGGTATGAAAACAAGCCAAAACTTCTCATTCGTCGGTAAACACTTCGCATGCCAATAGGTCTTCCGTGTTCTGCAAACCATTCATTTACAATGCACCTGGTAGTGGAGAAACGGTCCCTTAAGGCCAATAATCTTAGGCGGCGATCTTCACGGTCTGTTGTTCTACGGCGGCATCCAGTGCCCCTTACTCTTTGCGTACGGCCTTCTCGAAGCCATGCCTGACAACACCTAACCACAGTGTCTACACTTCTTTGCACTCTAACTGCAATTGCTCGAAAAGAAGGTCCAGCTTGCCGAAGTCCCACTATATGGCCCCTATCAAACTCACTAAGTTGACGAAATCGTACAGGTCTACGTACTCTAGGCATCGTAACCGATCGCAAAGGATGTCAAGAACCAAAATCCGCCAACGTTGATTCTTTACTGCGGCTGAAATATTCATTTTTAGAGCGTTAGTGAATTAAAAAAAAGCAGTATAAAAACCGGAATGTCCAACTGATAATGCTGAAAATTTTTTCACTTGTTATTTACAGTAAGATAAATACATTCACCAACTTTTATTAAAATAAAACCATTTAAACTGGGTGTTCGGATTTATATGTCACTTAGTATATAATCCTGAACATTTTTGAAAAAAAATTCGCACACGCACGATGAAAGTAAATCCTGAATAGTTTTTGAAAAAGTTTGCGTCTCGGACCAATACTCTATCCATGCCATGCGCTAGAACTGCAATGTTGGTTAAGCGGCCAGTAGGGATGATGGTGAAAACGTAAATAACCCAGCGAACATGATGACGCCAAAATGACGTTTATATTCGATAACTTTTGGTCGGAAACGTCATTGACTAAAAAATCACGTCCTCATTGATGCCGTTTTTATGACGACAACAAGGCAGTCATTTTGACGTCTTTTAAGGACAGTCAGTACTGACAAATCAACACTTACCTACAAAGAAAATTTAGGCTTTTAATGAACAGTAAGGTAAACTAAATATCCAGATCTAATAACTACTTTATTGTTATTTATAAGGAATTCGGAATAAGGATTCCTTGTTAATATGAAGTCAATTGGGTGTGACATTAGACCGTCACAATGACTTTGCGTCATTTTTGTTGGTCGGCAGTACTGCCCCAAAAAGGACGACATTATGACGTCAGTATGTTCACTGGGAAACATCAAACAAATATTGCGTATCGTGTACCGAATCAACAATACACAACTTGGAACCTCGGAAACCAGTAATTGACAAACTTTGGCCCATGGACGCTTTTGTTCTACGTATCAAAAACATATTTTATTTTAGAACAGAAAAGCCAATCTCCATAATTCTTCTGCGGCGTTTTCCACACAGTTAACGTATAACCAGTCTAGATTTTCCGTCTCGTTTCACTGACCTGGTTAACTAAACAGCATTCGTAAATACACCACATACGACCTTAAAAATACAAGTTTTTGACCTTTGAAAAATTCGGAATATAAAAGTACAAAATATAAATATGAATACACTTACTGTATATAGTATTGTAAGTTCCATACACTGGCACACAATCAGTTAGCTTTCCACAAAGATTACATGCAAACTGCGGATCCGATAAAACGGTATCTCTTACTACTGATTACAACGCGAGAAGATGATTAAAATGAACGCACACATTTCAAAATGTCCAACATCAGTAGTTGGCGTATAATGTTCTCCGTTATGCGTTTATTTCGACCGTGAATGTATCTATGATACTCATTAATTGTACACAAATGTATTCCGTGAATTGTAATTTTAAGGTAATCGTATTGTTTTCTATAATTTCCAGTTATTGAACACACTGGCGGAGTTTGAACAGTATTACGGAACTATTTTAATTAATAAGTTTTTTTGTTAGTTTTAACGTTTATACTCGTTTTGCCTAAACATAAATTTTTAAGCTGTAATTCCAACACGAGTATAAAGTATACTAAGTGACATATAAATCCGAACACCCAGTTTAAATGGTTTTATTTTAATAAAAGTTGGTGAATGTATTTATCTTATTGTAAATAACAAGTGAAAAAATTTTCAGCCTTATCAGTTGGACATTCCGGTTTTTATACTGCTTTTTTTTTAATTCACTAACATTCTAAAAATGAATATTTCAGCCGCAGTAAAGAATCAACGTTGGCGGATTTTGGTTCTTGACATCCTTTACGATCGGTTACGATGCCTAGAGTACGGAGACCTGTACGATTTCGTCAACTTAGTGAGTTTGATAGGGGCCGTATAGTGGGACTTCGGGAAGCTGGACTTTCTTTTCGGGCAATTGCAGTTAGAGTGCAAAGAAGTGTAGACACTGTGGTTAGGTGTTGTCAGGCATGGCTTCGAGAATGCCGTACGCGAAGAGCAAGGGGTACTGGACGCCGCCGTAGAACAACAGACCGTGAAGATCGCCGCCTAAGATTATTGGTCTTAAGGGACCGTTTCTTCACTACCACGTCCATTGCAAATGAATGGTTTGCAGAACACGGAAGACCTATTGGCATGCGAAGTGTTTACCGACGAATGAGAAGTTTTGGCTTGTTTTTATACCGGCCACACTGGGTCCTCCCTTTAACTCGAGAACACCGACGTAATCGCCTTGAGTGGTGCAGACAACGGTCACTCTGGGATCAGGAATGGAACAGTATTGTCTTTAGTGACGAGTCTCGATTTTGTTTAGGCATGCACGATGGTCGTGCCAAGGTTAGAAGGCGACGTGGTGAAAGCAGGAATCCACAGTTTTTTGTTGAAAGACATGTTCATCATACTGTTGGAGTTATGGTTTGGGGTGCTATAGCTTATGGTTCCAGGTCACCTTTAATCTTCACTAGAGGTAACATGAACGCGCAGCGTTATATCCACGAAGTTCTAGAACCCCATCTTTTACCCTATCTTGACACCCTGGCAGATCCAACTTTCCAACAAGATAATGCCCGACCACATGTTGCAAGAGTCACAATAGACTTCTTTTAACATAATGATGTCACATTGTTACCATGGCCACCAACATCTCCCGACTTATCCCCAATTGCGCACGTGTGGGATATGATGGGTAGGAGATTGCTCAATGTGCAACGTCCTCCTCAGACTCTAGAAGCACTTCGAGAGGAGTTGATGGTTGCCTGGAATGAGATACCACAGGAGGACATTGACAGAAGCATGCCTAGGCGCGTTGGAGAATGCGTAGCACATCAGGGTGCATCCACACATTATTAAAGGTCAAAGGGCTTTAGAGCAGTGCAATCATTTTGAAATTTTTATCATTTACTTATTATGCTTCATTAAGTACTTATACAAAATTTTATTAAAATAAAACCATTTAAACTGGGTGTTCGGATTTATATGTCACTTAGTATATAATTTCCAGTTATTGAACACACTGGCGGAGTTTGAACAGTATTACGGAACTACTTTAATTAATAAGTTTTTTTTAGTTTTAACGTTTATACTCGTTTTGCCTAAACATACATTTTTAAGCTGTAATTCCAACACGAGTATAAAGTATTTGGAAATACAACTTAAGAATGTACGTTTATGCAACACGAGTTTAAACGTCAAACGTGAAAAAACCTTATTACTTAAAATAGTTGCATAATACCATTCAACCTCCGCCAGTGTGTTCAATAACTGGAAATTATTAAAAACAATACGAATACCTTAATATTACAATTCACGATCAAACCTTCCGATTATCATTTACGAAAAACAATTTCAGTTAAATGGCTGTCGCGGCTGGCTTGGCAGTAGTCCATCCTCTTAAACCAATTTTGAAGTACATTTTCGATAGTCTATGGGTCTATTTCATTAATAGCTCGAGGGATATTTTCCTTAAGAACATCAATTGTTTGGGTTCGTTAGTGTAACAGCGGTCCATAGGAAGTAATCCATGGGTGTCAAATCACAGCTGCGGACTGGCCAATGAACGTGATTCTAGCAATACCAGCGGTAGGCCCTCTTCTCACCAATGGCCGCATCGCGCATCACAACAGCAGGGCAACAATTATTTACATTGTGTGTTGTCACTGTTATCACATTATCTATTACATTTCGTGGTCGGGGCATATTAAGCCTACCAGGGGGAGCGAAACTTACCTATACAAAACGCACATTCAACTTTGAAAATTACAATTCTCAATTTTTACTTTTTTTTGTCTAAAACCAATGCTTCAATGTATCCTTCATATCCGGGATCGATTGCATTCCGTGGCCGGGGCATATTAAGCCTACCAGGGGGAGCGAAAGTTACCTATACAAAATGTGTATAATTTTAAAATTAGAATTCTTAATGTTTCTTCAAATCAACACCACTTTCGGTCCCCCTGGTAGGCTTGATATTGATATGTCCCGGCAACGGAATGTAATTGATCCCGGATATGAAGGATACATTTTAGCATTGATTTTCGTGAAAAGAAAAGTGGTGTTGATATGAAGAAAAATTATGTATAGGTATATAGGTATAGGTAACTTGCGCTCCCCCTGGTAGGCTTAATATGCCCCGACCACGGAATGTGATCGATAATATGATAACACTAACAACACACAATGTATATGTCGGCGTCAAACGCTGAAATCCGCCCTTCCCTGAAATGCCTAGTCAGTCCCCGTATTGCCGGCAAACACCATAGCACAGTAATAGTTTGATTATTACAACGTTTGACTTAGCATTTTAGTAATTCCATGTAGTCAAACACTGTAACAACCACATTAACTTCGTTACTGCATTCGCCTATTTCAGTCGAACGTTGTAAACAATACAGTGTTCCTCCAATGTAGTACATAATATAACAAGGTCCCTCTTTATCAATAATATTAAAAGAAAAATAGTCAAGCATGAATTAATCTAAAAGGAAAGAAGAATATATTAAAACGTTGTCTTTATTATTAGATTATTGTGGACATTATTCATTAATGTATTAAATCAACAAGAAATATCCTGAAACTCTCGAAAGAAATATAAAACAATGAATACGCATTTTAAAAAAATGCAGAACTGTGAGTAGTGACAAACGAACAAAAGTTACATAGAATTATTTTAGATATTATATTATTTCAAATATTATTTGTTAGCGCATGTTAGACTCATATGGCACCTTGTATTACAAAGAAGTTTTTTTTTAAAATGTCGTTGGCTTCTTTCTAGTGAAAGTGACTGCACAGCTTCACGTGTTGATAAAACTTTTTCAGGAATAGCTTTTATTTGTAATAAGTTTATAAGAATTGATATAATCTTCTGATGGCGAAACGTGCGTCGAGGACCTATATTGTTGATATAAATAACTCCAGTGTGGATGGATAATATAGTTTTTTAATCAAGTTATATACGAAATCCGACAACAATGGATGCTGCTGTTGAGCAAGCCTATGTATGTACGTTATAATTTAGGTTAGGTTCACAAAATTATAAAAATGAACTTACCTCCTTTAACTCACTTGTATTCCATGGCTTTTTCTTATTCATACTGTCATAGTATTCACTTAGTTTCTTGTAAAACAATTCTGAATGCTGCGACAGTTTGGAAAAAAATCACGTTAGCACGTGCAGCCTCCTAAGCGGGGGTGACACCATCCCCAAATTCTTAAATCGAAAGGGGGGTCGAGTGATACCTTATTTTAAAGGCGAAATCCAAAGGTGATAAATCTGGCGATCTTGGGGGACATTCAATGGTACCTCTTCTACCAATCCATCGATATGGAAACGTCTGATCTAAATATTGTCGAACAGGTAATGTGTAATGTGGTGGGGCACCATCCTGTTTTAACATCAACCTATTCGCAATGTACCGCCGATCATTCTGATTTTCAATTATGGCCGTTAATGCAGGATCTATGGCGTCTTCCAGTAATTCCAAATACATTTCACCGGTCAAATTTCCAGGTAAAAAAAAGGACCAACTAAATGATTGCCAAAAATACTAGCCCAAACATTTAATTTTTGTGGCTGCTGTGTATGAACCTCATGATAAATTCTGGGATTAGAATCGGACCAATATCTGCAGTTATGACGATTTACTACGCCATTTAAGAAAAAGGAACATTCGTCGGAAAAGCAAGTGTTGAATAGAAAATGTTCATCGTTTATCATTCGTTCACTCATATCTTCACAAAATTGTAATCGCCGATCAAAATCGTCTTCATTAAGTTCTTGTACCAGGTGAATTTTATACGGATGAAAACTATGGGCCTTTAGAATCCGTTGGACAGTACGTCGACTAACACCACACACAGTCTCCAATTTGCGGGTACTTAACGTAGGATCTACATAAACTTGCCCTAAAGCCCCCACTTCTATTGCTTCTTTTTTTATGGGATTTTCAATGTTGCGTTTTTTATTAGCGACTGACCCAGTTTCCCGAAATTTAGCTACAAGTTCTAGAACGTATTTTCGATGCACGTTACTGTTCTCATGTCACTCATTAAATATCTCTCCTATTCTATTAGCGCACTGACTATTTCCGAAAAATATTTCGATAATCTGAACTCTTTCTGCTGTGGAATATACCATGGTTAATTTATGTAATAAAGTGTTACAAGTTATTTTAGCAACAAAGTTTGGTCAAATCAATCGCAAACTATGTACTAAGATCCAATTGAAAATAAGTACGAGATATTTACTTATCTTTCTTCAAGAAATAACTTTTTTGCCACAAAAAAGCTCCAATAGCTATTTTCAACAACAAAATGATAAACAAACCATGAGCGTAGTGAAGAAAAGCATTTACTTATTAAGTAAATTCTTTTAGTCACATTTCTTCTGAAAATAGTACAAATTAATCTGATGTACCTATTAAAGTCTACTTTAAGCTTTAAATCAATAAATCTTCAAAACTACTGAACTGAAGTACATGAATTTTATATCATTATAAAGGGAATTGAAAGACCTTTAAAATAAGGTATCACTCGACCCCCCTTTCCATTTAAGATTTTGGGGGTGGTGTTGTTTTGCCAAACTTGTGTCCCCCTCGAAAACAAAATCGACGGGTCTGAGCGTTTTTCAAAAAAAAAAAAACTGAGCTGCCAGTAAATGCGTCTGTTTCGTTTTCGATGCGCCACCCTGTATAATAATGTACTATAACACCGTTTTACATGGGAAGACGCTTGCTTACGCTGCGTTTCCCTGCGGCTGTGACGCGCGATGCGGCCGTTGGTGAGAATATGGGCTACCGCTTGTTGCTGGGTGACCGATTTTGCTAGGCTTACTTCCATCTATATTATCTTACGAACCAGTGCAAGTTTTATAACTCCAAAATTAGCGGCAGCATTAGATACGTATCAGTTAAGCATGAGAAATGATGTTTTTATTATTGAAGCAACGATTGTGCGAAAGGAGCACGCAGAAGCTATAAAGTTTGATTTCCAAACCGAGGAACCGGATACTGTAACTGTCCACTATGATGGCAAATTGTTGCCACCTTTGAATGCACGTAAATCTAAAGAAGAACGTCTACCGATTATTATAACGTGTAAAAATAAAGAGGCACTTATCGCTGTGCCAGAATTGTATAACTCTTCAGGCAGCGAGCAGGCTCAGGCAGTTTGGGATGCTATTATTGACTGGAATCTTGAAGATAAAGTTCAGATTGTCTGTTGTGATACTACTGCTTCAAATACGGGTCGGATTAACGGTGCCTGCGTGCTTCTAGAACAGAAACTTACTTAAGAAATGCTATGTTTTGTCAATCCCGAGAAAATATTGATTTATACTGGAATGCTATCATGCTTGAATATTTCAGAGACTGACAAGCTGCTATAATTTTATCGACATGCATTTACCAACGAAGTTTCTAGAGACGACTATCGAGAATTAATAGAACTTTCAATAATATTACTTGGCGATGGATGGTCAGAGCAATCTAATCTTTAAAAACGGCGTCGATCACTTTCGAGTAAGTTAAGTGGCGTGATCTCAGTTCCTTTTCTTATGTTTCTTTCAGTAAATCATTAAACTGTTCAATATGTTACACAAAAAGCTATGCTAACTGCTCAAATTTTAGGAGACAGCCAGACGCTGAGGGAAGGCTACAGAACCTGAGGACTGGAGACTAACTTTATCGGACTATTTGACTGCCTTATTGTACTCGGGGACATTAGAATTATTACAATAATTTCTTCAACTTGTTTTTTCGCAACATAATGACTATACTAAGTGACATATAAATCCGAACACCCAGTTTAAATGGTTTTATTTTAATATATATATATATATATATATATATATATATATATATATATTTATTTTGTATAAGTACTTAATGAAGCATAATAAGTAAATGATAAAAATTTCAAAATGATTGCACTGCTTTAAAGCCATTTCACCTTTAATAATGTGTGGATGCACCCTGATATGCTACGCATTCTCCAACGCGCCTAGGCATGCTTCTGATCAGGTGGTCAAGGTCCTCCTGTGGTATCTCATTCCAGGCAACCACCAACTCCTCTCGAAGCGCTTCTAGAGTCTGAGGAGGACGTTGCAAATTGAGCAATCTCCTAACCATCATATCCCACACGTGCTCAATTGGGGATAAGTCGGGAGATCTTGGTGGCCATGGTAACAATGTGATATCATTATGTTGAAAGAAGTCTATTGTGACTCTTGAAACATGTGGTCGGGCATTATCTTGTTGGAAAGTTGGATCTGCCAGGGTGTCAAGATAAGGTAAAAGATGGGGTTCTAGAACTTCGTGGATATAACGCTGCGCGTTCATGTTACCTCTGATGAAGATTAAAGGTGACCTGGAACCATAAGCTATAGCACCCCAAACCATAACTCCAACAGTGTGATGAACATGTCTTTCAACAAAAAACTGTGGATTCCTCCTTTCACCACGTCGCCTTCTAACCCTGGCACGACCATCGTGCATGCCTAAACAAAATCGAGACTCGTCACTAAAGACAATACTTTTCCATTCCTGATCCCAGAGTGACCGTTGTCTGCACCACTCAAGGCGATTACGTCGGTGTTCTCGAGTTAAAGGGAGGACCCAGTGTGGCCGGTATGAAAACAAGCCAAAACTTCTCATTCGGCGGTAAACACTTCGCATGCCAATAGGTCTTCCGTGTTCTGCAAACCATTCATTTGCAATGGACCTGGTAGTGGAGAAACGGTCCCTTAAGGCCAATAATCTTAGGCGGCGTTCTTCACGGTCTGTTGATCTACGGCGGCGTCCAGTGCCCGTTGCTCTTTGCGTACGGCCTTCTCGAAGCCATGCCTGACAACAACTAACCACAGTGTCTACACTTCTTTGCACTCTAACTGCAATTGCCCGAAAAGAAAGTCCAGCTTCACGAAGCCCCCGATATACGGCCCCTATCAAACTCACTCAGTTGACGAAATCGTACAGGTCTCCGTACTCTAGGCATCGTAACCGATCATAAAGGATGTCAAGAACCAAAATCCGCCAACGTTGATTCTTTACTGCAGCTGAAATATTCATTTTTAGAGCGTTAGTGAATTAAAAAAAAGCAGTATAAAAACCGGAATGTCCAACTGATAAGGCTGAAAATTTTTTCACTTGTTATTTACAGTAAGATAAATACATTCACCAACTTTTATTAAAATAAAACCATTTAAACTGGGTGTTCGAATTTATATGTCACTTAGTATATTTAAAGCATGCTGTGGCAACAATGTCAGCGTTTTGTCTTTGTTTTTGTTTACCTTTGTTAAGATGTTATGCCTTAGATTTTGTGATGAGCTGAGTAGTACAGATATTTTTAGTTGTTGATATGAGATACGCACTTCAGGTAACTAGCACTACGAAACTGTTCTGCTACTACGCGTCAGATCGCTGACCAATGGTTTGGAGAAGAAGGTAGACCTGTTACTATGCGTGCACTCTATCGCCGCATTCAAGCTTTCGGACTTTTTTCATATCGTCCACGGTTAGTGCTTCCTCTGACTGCGGACCACTGTCGTCAACGTTTGAACAGGAACATAGTGGCATGATGTCATCTTCAGCGTCTAATCGCGATTCTGTCTAGGTATGCACGATAGAAGGGTAAGATGTCGCCGTGGATCTGCTGTTGAGTGGCATGTGCACAGGTCTGTTGGAGTAATGGTTTGGGGGCCTATGGTAGCCGCTCACCACCTTCTCTTTGTTCAAGGCAATATGCGCGTTATGTTGATGATGTCCTACAAACTAATTTACTGCCGTATCTACATGGCCGTCCACACATCCTTTTTCAGCAAGACGACGTACGACCCTATATTGCTCGTCGTATTACGGACGAAAGCAGGCGTTAATGTTTTGTTGTGGCCATTCCGTTCACCGGATTTAAATCCCATCGAACATCGGTGGGATACGATGTGGAGGAGAATATCCATTTTGCACCATCCGCCACAGACTCTGCCGCAGCTAATCCACGAAGCTGCTTGGAATGAAGTGCAAGAACCAGACATCGATCATCTTATTTTGTCGATGTCTAGACGTATACAGGATGTTGCTTAATTATATGCGAATATTTAAGGGTGTGAATCTATATGAAAAATTAATGTTAATGTTTGCTTTGTAAACTGTGGTCCAAAAATGTTTCCTTACAAAAACTCGGGGTGTTGAAATTTTAGGAATAAAATGGAAATTAATTAATATTTTCAGAACCGCTTCAGATATTTCACTCATATTTAGTAAGTAGTGAAAGTTAATAGAGCTGCATATTTTTCAATGCTAAAATAATTTTTAGCTTCAACACTGGCGTGCCAACAGTTTTTTGTCAAATAAAAATTATTTTTGAATCCCCCGTTCAATTTTAAACAAATGATCTCTATTGAGTTGCATATCATTAAGGAACACCCTGTATAGGAGTGTATTCATCTGCGGGGTCGCCCAACATGTTATTAATTTTTTTCTGATTACTTGTCAATAAAATTTTGTGAGAATGTTATCGTTTCATTCTTGATGTAAAACTACCTCATTGCCAAAAAATCAAATTGAAGAAATTATTTTTTCTGGGCGTAACCCTTCTAATATCACTCAGTATATTTATCAGGGTCCAATGTATGCCAAACTTAATCTTTTATGAACTGATGACAGCCTTGCGTGGAAAGCTTGGAGTCAACCTACTTGACGCCCTTTGTCAACTACTTGCTAGCATGAAATATACGGTGTATAATCAGGACTTAGGAGGCACCGAAATAAAGCAAATATCGAGTTATCAGAATATATTAAAAATATGACAAAGTCGTTATTGCATTTTTTAAAAGGACTAATATATACAATAATCAATTTTAGTCAGAGATTTTTGTGTAGCAACACATAAATATAAAACGTTAAAATTAGAAGTACTATAAGAAATATAGGCACATAGATCATCATTCTACACTCTAAGTGACAGATGGGTATTATTTGGGTAAAATAAAAAACTCTTCGATTCTTTCCTAGCAAACAGTGATGTACACCTAGGACTAACAAAAGTTACAGTCATGTGCAAAAAACTTAGATTGAACCTTCATATTTTTGTATATCTTTCGACACACGAATTTGCTCACTAGATTTAGATTACCCATAAAGCTTTCAAGTAAAATTGATGTATTGGCTCACAGATGTTCTTATATTTGTTTAAAATCAAAAGTAGTAGTGTATCTTCTTTTTTTTGCAAAAATGACAAATGCATCTTTAGAATGAACGCCTTAGGGAAAATTTTTGACAGAACCCATGAGGTTTTTTTTCAGTGCTCTCAAGATAATTAAAGAGGTTTAGAATAACAACTAAATCTAACGATTCGGTTAATAATTTGTGGCAGAACAAAAGATAATTGAAAAACACCAGGCCGAAGTGAATATAAAATACAGTTTGACGTTGATCAAACTGTACTAATTGTATCACCATATTGTGATGGCACTAGGATACGAAGACAACACATTGAATTCCACACAAAAAAAAACACACATCAACTGGCGCAAGTTTCTATTTCCTGTAATTTCTCACTTCGATCATCACCGGATTGGTGGTTCCAGAGTTATATCTTCTTTCTTCGTAGTAGTTCCTTGTCGGGGTACTTCCCCTGAAGTGACTCTTGGTGACCGATTTCAACTCACTAGACTGGATGGTTTCTACCGATTTTCCATCTTTGGACGGTATGGTTTTCTTAGAAAAGCTCTTGGTCGTATCGGTGATGCTCGGTCGGACTGGATCGTCATTTCTGGTGGTGGTGTGGTACGTTTCAGAAAAGTCTGTACTGGAGCTGCTGCCTCTTCGTACAATGGACTGGCTGGGCGACAGGCTGTCTCTAAGCCTCGTTGGTGGCTCATAAATGTTCCCATTGCTATACCCCTTACCATTTCTCACAGGCGTACTGTAGGTGTTTGGCTTCCAGTACTCAGGAGTCTTCTCTCTGAAACTGGACAAGAACCCTCTCTTGGAGTCCACGTAGTCACTGGTACCGTTTCTCGCGAAACGGGAAGTGTATATATCGTCGCCGTTCAAGTCCTTGTGGCTCCTATTCAGGCTCGAGATCAGTCCAGGACTCTTCAGCCCGATCCCCGAGTCTTCCAACTTGTTGAGATGCGGGTTGCTCGTGTACATGTTGTTTCTCTGAGTCTCCAAACCAGCTTGGACGTTGAAACTCTGACTCCTGGATAAGTTCGACTTGTACGTTCGAGCAGGCTTCGCAGGTCCTTCTAGCTTCCTCGGCGTATTGATGATGGAGATGTTGATGGTGCTGTTAGATCGAGTACCCAACTTCGAAGGCGAGTCGCTCTGCTTGTGGAGATGTCTAGGCAACGTCTGCGAACTCCTGTTGTCCGCCACGGAACTGTTCACCAAGCGACCCGTCGACTTACTGAACCTACCGAGAGTACTCTGGGATCTGTAACAAACGAACGATGGTGGGGTTATTTGACAAATATGGCAAGAGACGAGATCGGGAGCGAATGCTAACCTACACTTTTCACCATAAAAAATGGATTCATAATCGACCGCGTAGGAAGTGGATAATAATATAAAAATGCGTTGGAGGTAACTCCAGGTTTTTTATATAGATCAGTCACTTTAGATAGAAACTTTGGCTATGGATTTTTAATTGTTTACTATCACTTTCACATGTTGAATATTGGTTTAAACATTTAGTAGTTTTTTACGTAACTGACTATAAATTGCACCATTTTAATAAGTGAGTATGTTTTCGTACGATTGCAGGTAGGAGTTCCACATATTATGTCTAATAAATTTCTCTAATTCTTATCAATTTGCAAAAAATGCTACTTAGCTCAGCAACGATCCAGTTGACTGCCTCAGTTTCGCAGCTTACCGGTACATAACTTGATGAATTACATACGACTGTTTGTTTCATAACTAATACAGTATTATGATGTTTTTCAAAAAAGTTGTCTATATTGAAATGTGCCTATTCATGTTCACAAAATTGTGGCCTTCTTAATTCCTCTTTGTCACGAATACGCTATAATAATGGTTAGGTAAATATGTAATTCTTAATATAGGCGTAAGTATGATTACTAAAAATCTTTACTTTGCAATATTAAACTAAGTTTATTTCCGTCTAGGATCACCTAACGCGCTCTATCAGATATACTCTAAAATTTCCAGTATGAGCTACAATTTGGCTTGGCTATTATTAGATCTTTATAGTCGTAAATCTGTAAGATTTCAAATATTCTGTCTATATCAACAAATTCTACTATACAAACCGCTGGTGCTAGACGAAATCTGGCAACGCCGTCGTGTTTGTCGACTACCGATCCCAACAAGAAGCGCCTATTAGAAATTAGAATAGAAATGCATTGCCAATTTTTTCAAATACAAGGTATTTTTGTGTTTAAATTGAAGCTACACGTTATAGTGTGTTCAATGCTACGATGCCTGGACTAACAATGCAAAATTGTCATCTATAAAAACAATCTGAATTTGTCATACAGCCAAATTTGGCCTCCTCGCCTACTTCAGTGCTAATCAACCTGATTAAGATATTTTTTTTTGTAGTTGCTTTCCCATTGGAATTTGAAAGGTAATGAAACCATATAAAGCCTGTTATAATTTTATTAATGAATTATAATCGTAAACCTTCATAAATAAATATATATTAGTAATATCACTAATAATAAATACACAACAAGGCTACATTTGAAAGATTTATAACTACTAAATAGCAGGAAGGTAACACATGCATCTCAGGTTAGTAATTACAAAAAAGAAGAGAAGGACTTGTATGGCTTATACAGGGTGATACTACATCAATAACTGCTTGTAATGGTATTTTAATAAAATACGTAAAAAATACTTTTTGAAGTATTTTTTACGGAAGCAAATTTTGATTGATTTTTTAAAAAAGTATTACATTCTAAGTTTGCTTGTTGTTTGGTGAAGATTTACTTGGCATTAATGCTACAATATCAATTTTGTATAACTGTTCGTTTACACATTTTTTTGCATCCATTTTCTGTACATTTTACATTCTTGTCTATTAAAATTACAACACTATGCATTTTGAGTATTCATAAAGTGATTTTTCAATTTCACCTTAAACATTTTTAAATTCGAACTCCGTTTAATATCATTATTCAGCTTATCAAATTCAAATACCCCCTTTTGAAATACAGATTATAATACTATTATAATTTTGCTTACGAAAATCTATACTGCCTCTAGTTTCGTATTTATGATAATGACTATTTACTGATCTTTTAATTTCAATACGAAGAATGGAACTAAATAACTTTGGTTTTTTACATTCAACCACTGTAGTTCTTCTAGCATAGACTTAATCCTAGCATATTTCATTCTTTCTGCAGTGATTTTCCTTTTTAAACTTTTAAAGTTGCTCATTCAAGTAACTAAGAAAATGAGAGATGGACGAAAGAAACCGAATCTGACTATTTGAGATGGCATTTCAAAATAAGAAGTACCTTAACATTGCCATGAGTTAAATGTTGGATAATCGTCAGAAAATGCCAAAACCGTAGCGAAAATTTCGCGAATGCGATCAATATGAAATTTGAGTTATTTCGAAGCCAAGAACCTCGCTTGTACGCCCTGATCGTTGATTTTCACCATACATAACAGCTAAGTTCATTAATTATATGTGTTTTGTATATCTCACTGTACTATAACCCTGTGTAAACCATTAGTACAAGGAATTCCGATCAGAGTTCAACTACTACTGCATTTCCATATAAGCTGAATTCCTTCTGAAGAAGTGACATCATCAACCTGTATAACGGCCTTTACTTATACAGAAATGCCAAGATCTCGGACCAAGGTCAGCCGTTACTATACTACTCTACGTAGTTAGTATTGTTTATGTCTTTCATGTTGCCGGATAGGAATTATTTTAAATTTTAACTACTTTATGTTCACGATTCAGATTCTTATGAAAAAAGTATTTTACGAGTTCCTGGATTTTTTATCTAAGTTCCAGTTAGTTTAATTGAGCATTTGTGGCATACTACCTTAAACTGTTGCCACAACAAAAAAAAAGAAACAATTTTTAGTTATGCACTAAACGCGAAATAATATCTTAGATTGCAGGTTTTATTTATTTACTTTTATTTCGTCGAAAGGTTTCAATGATCTCGGAATTCTCTTGAATCATACTTGATAATACGTTTTTTACGAAAATGCATTCTGTGAAACAGAAGGTGCAGCGTGGGTTGTGCATGTTGAGATAAAAAAAATGGAATTTTCATCTTACTTGATTAGAAGTATTTGGTATAGAAGTTTCTGATAAATATTGTTCTTTTTGATGATGGTTGTGCAAGTTTTGAACAAATGTGTAGTCTTATGTATTTTTTTTTGACCGATATCTATAGTTTGTAAAATATGCCGTTCCATTGATTATGTAGGTATTTTTATGATTCTCTGAATCATCTTCCCCCTGGTGAGATTCGACCCCATTCCCCAACCCTTTATCTCACGTGAGGTTTTTAAAAATTTTTGATTTCAGTTTAAATCTGTTGACATTTTTTAAGCAATTGTACTCTGTTTTTCGCGGGGAAAAGTTACGTGATATTTGTCGAGACTCCCTTTTTTCCGCGTGAGATTGGGTGAGATTCACCTCGACACCCGTTCCTCCTGAATACATCACGTAACGATAATACCATATCCAAATGATGTGATCTTGATTCCTGCCGTTGTATTGAAAAGGTGAGCAGCGCAGCTCGCTTCAGTTCTTTCGCGTCTCTTTCACATATGTTACGATTCCGGCACCTTCCCAGAAAACTGGAAATTCGCTTATGTCCGACCCATCCCAAAAAAGGGATCTAAGACCGACCCTTACAACTGCAGGCCTATAGCTCTGCTTTCTGTTATAAGTAAGGTGGAGAGGTGCATAAATGGCGAGCTTTTGGACTACCTCGAACGTCAAGGCTTGATCTAGTCTTACGGTGAGGCTCATGTCGTTGCTCTTGATATCACGAAAGCGTTCGATCAGCAAACATGCATTCGATGGCCTACCAGAAAAGCTTTGCAAATAGGCGGCTGACTTTCTGCCTGTCCGCAATATGTCCATCGTAATTGACATCATTTATTATCGATGTTGTCCGATGACTCTTCTAACAGACAGTCTCGGGACCCTTTCGCACTGGCCGGCCGCCGGCGAACGGACGTTGCACCTCAGAGCTGTCCTCCATGATGCCGACGCGCGATGTGCCTGAGAGACAGACCAGCCTGACTTCGGCCTCCCATATTAACCGTGTCGAACTTCGTACGTCCAGAACTGGCCAATACGATCGCTCCTTTGTCCCGAGGGCGTCGAGATCGTCGAACAATCTACAAGACGAGTTTATAAATCGGATTGAGAAACTTTCTTTGGGATTCTCATAACAGCCCGGTTTCCTGGCATTTAGGCTTCTACCTGTGCGGCTGCTTCGGTATAAAAAAGTGACATCTACTATCCAAGCTTTTTGGACGAAGTACCTCTGACGAAGAAGTGACGACTGCATTTCGTCCAGCACATACTTTGAGGAACTCATGTAAAAGAGACACACAGCCTCGATTTTGACATGTCCCTTGATAAAAATGAAGACAGCACTTTCACTTTCAATCGGAAAATAAAAATTAACGCACGTGTTATAGCCCCGAAGAAGTTGTTGCTTTGCTAGTTTCATTAAATTTGACTGAAGGGAGTCACATTAAATTTCATACCTACCATGATATGACATGAGCATTTCCTGGGACATTCACTCCATAAATACTGTCCACTGTTAAAGGGGCAGCTTTAATTCATAAACGCTCACTCAACTATCCTTAGAATGGTTTCCATTGACAATTCAGATCAATGTTTTCGAAATGTGTACATTTCCAGACTATTTACAAAATCGATCGCTCTTCTCCAACAATTTTAATGAGATATCATCACCTTCCTAGCATATGGCCGAGTTTGGCACCCAGTGCCTTGCACTTGTTGTCTAAGTTAAGAATATTTGACAGGACGATTTAGTTTTGACGTCGAGGTAAAAGACGAGGTACAAGTCTTCCCTAAGGAACTGGTGGCAGGCTGGTATGATAAGCAGATAGAAAAATTGCCACAGAGTCTGAAAAAATACATTGATCGGATTGGCGATTATGTAAAAAAATAGACATAGGTCTTTTTAAGCTTCATAATGATGTATCGGTCAGATTTTTGTATTTAAAAGAATAGGAGACTATACTTTTAAAATAAGCTTTGCCGGTGAGACATTTTTCTACTGCTTGAAGTGTGTCCACTGATTAAAAAATGTTTAGTCGGTCCAGTTTATCTCTTAATTGCGAAGTAGCAAATGCATCTTTGAAAATTTAGGACCAGTGACTATAAAATTATTCTGTATTATTATTGTTACGCTATACCAACTATAAATAACGTTGTTATACATTCTAATAATTTTTCCAGGATATCTGAAACTGAGTACAGTTTTTCGGGTATGTGTTCCATAAGTTAATAATTTTGTCGAAATAACGCTTCATGATTGCACTTTGGAGATTGCTGAATTTGTTTAATAATTCCACGAAGTAAAACTCGGCATCATGAACGACACAAACAATAATAATGATAATATGAGTATTTTGGCATCAATAAACAAACATCTAAAATTGGAAGCATCCAGTACATGCAAATTGAACAAACATATTATTTACACATTTACTCTACATCCCAAAAAGGATAAGTATAGGAGTTATTCAAGTTATAAAAGATACTAATCTATTTAACTAAATCTCCACGATTTATAAAGTAGACGATATTCAACTACGTACTTTGTTAATAAAAGTAATAAGACTACATAGCACATGCACATCTGATACTCTTTTGGGATAATACAGCTACGTCTTACATACTATAGATTACTTTCCAAATGCATGAAATTACACGAACTGCGCAGTAAAGAAGGAAGTATTATTATTAATATTTCTGTAACACAACTTCTGAGTACGTCAAGGCGTATGCCATACGTTGAGATTGATCTAACCGCAACGTTGCCAAGTTGTGCTTGGTTATAGCTCGGTAGTTTTAGACATTCTTAAAGTTCGGAATATATTAAAAAATGTTAATTTTCGCGTCCAAAAAAGGACAATCATTTTCGGTATGATCCAATATTAGATAAAACCATCGTCATGATGCCGAAAATGGCACGTTTTACATGATCTGCTAGCACGCATTTGCGTATTTGCGTATTTGTATACCTACAATACCCCGCCTAATATATTTTATCTCAACAATTAAAAAACCTATGAATACGCTTAAGCAGGTGCGAAAGACCGTTTCAAAAGCATTAAAACGCGCTATATCACTTTTCAAAACGTCAATCGAAAGTATGAAAAAATCGAAAAGTGGCATTTTGTCAAAAAACTTGAAAAAACCGAAAGTTTTGAACGGAAAGGAATAAAGAAATAAAAAAAACGCGTTCCAAATCTCCGATGTCTGGGCTTTCTTCCGCAAAAATCGGTAGGTCCGTAGCTCCGTTATCTTCGGAGGAGATAGATGTTGAATATCGAAAAGAACGTTTGAGGAACAAAAAAGCCAATTTTCCAACGTTTGAAAATTTTTTATTCAAAACGGAAAAAACTCGATCTCGGTGATTTATAGTATTCATCGAGATATACAAAATGCGCTATGCGAAATATGTTTTCTCTGTGCCGTAGAGAAGTTAACGGCTTTTTAACAAAAAATGGGATTTTTCTGTTTTTTTTTCTTTGAATATTTCTAGAAAAAACTAAGATGCGGATCAAAATCGGACTCGGAAAATACGGAGCACCTATCACTTAAGCTATCTAAGGCGACTGATCTCGAGTCGATAATTTGAGAAATGACGGAAGGGTGGCGGAAATCTTTCTGGCGTACGGGGTCCTCATACCGCGATAGTTCGTACTCGCTCGTAAAGCGCCGAATGTCCAGTTTCCGAAACGGTATAATTTTCTAATAAAACTCATCAGCAACAGGAAAAAAATGAAGAACGTCCCCGACGTCGAAACAGCCTGATCCAGACTTGAGAGGGGAGGTGGAAAAAGACAAAAAGTTACCGCTTAATTTTTTCGAATTTTCGTGTCCAAAAAGGGACAATCATTTTCGGTATGATCCAGTGTTGGATGAAACGATCGCCATGAAGCCGAAAATGGCACGTTTTAGACGATCTGCTAGCACGCATTTGCGTTTGTAATATTTGTATACCTACAATACCCCGCCTAATATATTTTATCTCAACAATTAAAAAAACCTATGAATACGCTTAAGCAGGTGCGAAAGACTGTTTCGAAAGCATAAAAACGCGCTATATCACTTTTCAAAACTTCAATCGAAAGTATGAAAAAATCGAAAAGTGGCATTTTGTCAAAAAACTTGAAAAAACCGAAACTTTTGAACGGAAAGGAATAAAGAAATAAAAAAATCTCGTTCCAAATCTCCGATGTCTGGGCTTTCTTCCGCAAAAATCGCTGGGTCCGTATCTCCGTTATCTTCGGAGGAGATAGATGTTGAATATCGAAAAGCACGTTTAAGGAACAAAAAAGCCAATTTTCCATCGTTTGAAAACTTTTTGTTCGAAACGGAAAAAACTCTCTCTCAGTCATTTATAGTATTCATCGAGATGTACAAAATGCGCTATGAGCAACTTCTTTTCTCTGTGCCGTAGAGAAGTTATCGGCTTTTTAACAAAAAAAATGGGATTTTTCTGTTTTTTTTTCTTTGAATATTTCTAGATGCGGATCAAAATCGGACCCGGAAAATACGGATCACCTATCATTTAAGCTATCTAAGGCGACTAATCTCGAGTGGATAATTTGAGAAATGACGGAAAGGTGACGTCTTTCTGGCGTACGGGGTCCTCATACGGCGATAGTTCGTACTCGCTCGTAAAGCGCCGAATGTCTAGTTTCCGGAACGGTATAATTTTATAGTTATATATATATATATATATATTATATAAGTTATATTCCTAATTCAAAATTCGGATGTATCAGCAACATCCGTCAAAATGCAAAAACTACCAAATTTCCATTGCGCAATTATATTGTATGAACTTACATTAACCAGCTTAGCTACCAATATGTTAAGATCTTTGTACATGGTATAACAATTTCATGTCTTAGTAGCACAGGATTGATAAATGCGATATTTGATATTGCCATATTTATCATTACGAAATAATAAACTTGTAGATACAGTACTGTACAATTCGTGTAAATTCAAAAACTATTGTCTTCGTTGCCACTTTTAAATACCAAACAGTATATTGTATTCAGTCAAGTTCAAGTATAACATTTGAAAAAAAAATAGCTGCATTGTGAAAACTGTGTGAGTATATTCCTGTTGTTAATATGTTAATCGCTAAATGTGATACGCGTGGTACCCAAAAGTGGCAACCTACACTCAGCCCAGCGTTCCATATCCCTTCCTTTTATCCTCCAAAGCCTGCACAACCTCTCCAGTTCCCTCCGCTTACCTCCTTTCGTCTCCAGGATGACTCCCGTTTGTTTGACGTTTTGAATTTCTTGCGGGTCGTACCACACCATCGTACTTATTCTCCCTGCCATAAATACTGCCGGCGAAGGGATCCTCACCTAGATAGTACCTAGAATCAAAAATGAAAACTATTTAATCTTGGAATACAATTCGCATTTAAAATTTTTTTAAAATTGAGTTTTAGGATTTGAAAAAAAAAACGGATTTGAAAGTTTGGGAAACAGTTGGAAAATTCGGGAATAAATATGAAGTTTTGGAGAAAAACGGAAATACCGAAATTAGAAAAAAATTGTAAATATTGAAAATTTTACAGCAATTTGAATTTAAAAATTGGGGAAAAACGTGGGTACCTTGAAAATACATTATATCTGGAAAAAAATGAAAATTTTGAAAATAGTATAAGTACCTTTGTTGCCGTTTTGCTACTAAGATTTTAGAAAATAAATTATGCTATAAGAAAGCCAAAAAACAGCTTTTAATAGCAAATCGAACAGAATACATTTAATATCAAGCACTCCACGCTTTTTCACTACAACTAAAAAAGATTTTTTACATTGATTTTCTATTCGAGCCTGTTTTTGAAATTATGATTTATTCTACCGCATGTCTCAGTCACAAATAACGTGCATCATATTACCTCACCTCACGCACCAGTCTTCTGGTCTCGTAATATGTCCCGATTCAATATTAAACGTTACTCTTATGGTTCAGACTTGCTAGTAACTTATTTTGTTGTCTTGATGTAAATTGTTGTTAAAGGCAATTAGAGTTGAATCGGAGAGTGCAAAAATCTCGTAAAAAATGTGTCACTGACAAATAAACCAGTTTTGAAGTACTTTTTGGGCTTAATGTAGTATTTGTGTTCAAAAAGGTTGAAATGTTTTGTTTGTTTGTTGAAGTAACATTAATGTTACAATGTCAATTTTGTATAACTAAATCACTATGTATTTTGAGTATCCATAAAGTGATTTTTTAATTTCATCTGAAGCATTTTTAAATACGAACACTTTTATTAAATTCAAATACTCCCTTTTGAAATACGGATCATCTAGCTATGCTACTATTACAATTTTGCAGATGAAAGCCTATACTGCCTCTAGTTTCGTAGTTATGATAATAACTATCTAAAATAGGCTTACTCCTAGCATATTTGTCTTTATTTAAAATGATTCTCATATTTTGTCGAATTTGTTATTTTGAAAATATGCTGTAAGCAAGAAAATATGTTTTCATTTGCTGTAAACAAGCTGGTTGAAAAATATAAAATATGGGGATGAATTATAGTGTTTGTTGTAAAGGGTTTACCTCGGATCTGCAATTGATGCCGGATGGCGTCCCTGATGCTTTCATGGGCTGTAGTCACCACTTACTTTACTTTTTACTTATAAAATCAGGAAAAAACTAGGAGACTAACACACCTGCAACTACTATCCACACTTCTATATTACCTTCTTCTTACAATACATGGTTGCCACATGCAACTTAAAGTCGGGTTACTAGATACAATATTCCAAATGTAATAAAGTTCCAAACAGTGTTATACACAATTTTTTTTGGAATACATACTAAGATTGTGGAAAACTCTATAAAAGTAATTTATCCTTTCTGATAATTTTGAAATAATGTCATAAGGCACGTGAAACAGCAGTTGACTATCCACACAAATATATGGGGTTGTCCAAAACGGATACAGGAAAGTAAACGCATATTAAAACAAGAAAGATTGATATTCAAATCAAGTTGGGTACTTTATTTTGAAGGTTCATTTATACCATTTATGTATGAAAAATAATATCGCTCAAATGTTCACCATGACTGGACTTACAGACGTCCACGCGATGGTCGAAATTTTCAATGACATGCTGCAACATGGTCGGTTCTATGGCATTTATCTCGGCAATGATGTTGTTTTTGAGTTCTTGGAGGGTGGCTGGTTTGTTGACGTAGACTATGCTTTTCAAATATCCCCATAAGAAGAAGTCCAAGGGAGTCAAATCGCAGGATCTTGGTGGCCATGGCACACTTCCTCTGCGCGAAATCACGCGATCACCGAAGAAGGACTGCAATCGATGGATATTGACGTTGGTTGTGTGGCATGTTGCACCGTCTTGTTGGAAATAAACATCGTTCATATAAATTCCTTCAAGTTGCGGCAAAAAATAGTCCTCTATCATCACGTGATATCGCTCAGAATTGACGGTAACGGCGTCCCCGGCCGCATCTTCGAAAAAGTAACGTCCGATGATGCCTTTTGACCACAATGCACACCACACACTCACTTTTTGAGGATGCATTGGCTGCTCTTGATACTCACGGGGATTTTCGTTCGCCCAGATGCGGCAGTTTTGCTTGTTTACTGTCCCATTCAAAGTGAAATGCGCTTCGTCGCTGAACATGATTTTTGATGAAAAATTGGCATCAATTTGGCGGTGTTCAAGGAGCCAATCTGAGAACGTTCGGCGCGAAAAATGTCGGCCCGACGCAGCTCTTGCGTCAATTGGATCTTGTAGGCGTGTACATTCCAATCCTTGTGGAGAATGCGGAGCAAACTGGTTCTCGAAATGCCACATTCTTGGGATCGACGCGTTGTTGATTGTTTCGGATCGTCTCTCACACTCTCCTTCACAACAGCAATATTTTCCGGTGTGCGAACGCTCCTTGGCCGGCCAGAGCCTGGCAGATTTCCCACAGAACCTGTTGCCTCGAATTTACGCACCAGACGACCGATGGTTGTTTCGTTTTGGCGGTTGTTGCGACCGAAATGTTCACGAAGCGCGCGAAACGTGTTTTTTATTTTTGCACCATTTTTATAATGCTCTTGAATAACTTAATGCGGTCTTCAATCGAATACGACTCCATAGCGATCAATGGTAAACATTCAACTAACAAAATGACATGTCGGTGACAGAAAACAAAGATGGCGTCTATGTCAAATTGACGTTTACTTTCCTGCGTCCCTATTGGACAACCCTTTATATATAGCACATTTATATAGATGATTCGACTATTTCAATTTTTCCATCATTAATAATGAGTCTAATTGTACTGACACATGTTTCCTTATTGACATACATTTTGTTTTATTAGTGCTCCAATTCATAATTTTTTAATTTCACTATGTAACAGTGAGCAGTATCCAAATGTTTATGGGTGATTTTTTTGCTAGTATCTTTTTGGCAATACTGTTTTTGACAGATGACGCGTGAATCGTGTCTTATGTCATTGTCAAACTTGTTCAGTTTGGTCTAAAAAGAGAGTGCATCGAGCACTGCTTCCAATTTATAGGCAATTTTGGTCGGCCTACTGAGGGAGCTATTCGGAAGCTTGTGACTAAATTTCGAACCCAGTCAATTGGCCGCCTAGATCGTGTGATTTAACGCCGTTGGACTATTTCTTGTGGGGCCATGTTAAGGCTAATGTCTACAGGGATAAACCAGCAACGATTGACGCACTGGAAGCTAATATTGAAGCATTTATTCGTGAGATACCGGCCAATATGTTGGAGAGAGTGTGACAAAATTGGACCTTGCGCATGGGCCATCTAAAGCGGAGCCGCAGCCAACATTTACATGAAATAATCTTTAAACTTTAAATTATATCGACCGTTCTATCGACTCAAATAAAGATTTAATCGTTTTTTCAATTTTTTTGTGTTTTTTTTTTAAATTAAATCCTATACCTCTTAAAAAATCACCCGTTATATATAATAAATGTATCGTCCGCAAATATTTGAATTTGCAATGTTCTAAAATGTCATAGATATCATTTATATAAATAATAACTGGTAATGGCTCTAATTTACTCCCCTGTGGCACCTCTACTGATATATTTCGAATGCTTGACTTATTCCCAACTTTCGATTTTTGACTACTATTTACCAAATAATTTTGTAAGATGTTTAAAACCATATTGATGCAATTTCATTAACAAATTTTGTCTATATATAATCTCAAATGCTCTAAAAATACTGTTACATCCTTTCTCATCTATACTTCTTCTCCAGTCTTCAACCACCATTTGGATTGCTATTTCTGTAGAATATTTTTTTTAAATCCAGAATGATTTTTTGTCAAATTTTTGTTTTCATCAATACATTATTAACCATTAGAACGGCTTCTCGTATATAGCTCAGAATGTTGAACTTTTGCCTCAGCAGTAACGGTGGAACACTTTAATTTTGACGGGCATTCACCATGTACTAAACAATGATTCACCAATAATAATAATTTCTCTCCAATTATATTGAAACAATCATTCAGAATTTTTTTCGACAGATTCTAGTGATTTTTGCATCGAGTCACTTATTCTGCTTACCTTTGTACAGGGCGTTCGCTTGAATGTCCATTAGTACTTCCATTGTTGCCGATGTTACTGTCTATCACATGTCCTGGTTGGTACGAGGGGCTTGGAGACCTTTTGGCACGCTGTTGCCGAGCTTTGCGTTCAGCTGATGCTGAGCGGATCTTGCCTACGAGTTTGCGGATGGACTGGCCTGGAAGAATAAATATACTTATAAGTACTGGTATGTCGGGCACATCAAAAAGTGATTCAAAGTAGTACCTGCATCAAGCAGAGCGAAGTTGGATGGTTTGAAGAAGAGTGAAATCTGAATATCAATTCGTAATTGTCTGTTTGTTCTTTGTTAACGTTGAATATCATATCAAATAGAAATAAGGAAAGAATGCAGAAAAAGGGAGAGACAAAGACAGAAGCTGCGATGATGAGAGTGGTCTTCTACTTCATATTTTTTTTTGATCGCGAATCGCAACAGAACGTGTTGACATTGTGGGATGAAGAGGAGACCCGTCAATAACGATGGATATCTTGCGGCCAGAGACGAAATCAGCCAACCACCTCTACAGCTTCTTTGGGGCCATAGGATGAAATTTTTCATAAAAAGTTGATTCAACATCACAAACAGAACAGCATACGTAGGCTGGCATAGAAATCGCGTCCCGCCATCTGCAAATCTTCACAAAAGCAATATTTCTAAACGTTCGCTACCTCATTCACATTATCTGCAAATATACTAGGTGACATATAAATCCGAACACCCAGTTTAAATGGTTTTATTTTAATAAAACTTTGTTTAAGTACTTAATGAAGCATAATAAGTAAATGATAAAAATTTCAAAATGATTGCACTGTTTTAAAGCCCTTTGACCTTTAATAATGTGTGGATGCACCCTGATGTGCTACGCATTCTCCAACGCGCCTAGGCATGCTTCTGATCAGGTGGTCAATGTCCTCCTGTGGTATCTCATTCCAGGCAACCACCAACTCCTCTCGAAGTGCTTCTAGAGTCTGAGGAGGACGTTGCAAATTGAGCAATCTCCTACCCATCATATCCCGCACGTGCTCAATTGGGGATAAGTCGGGAGATCTTGGTGGCCATGGTAACAATGTGACATCATTATGTTGAAAGAAGTCGATTGTGACTCTTGCAACATGTGGTCGGGCATTATCTTGTTGGAAATTTGGATCTGCCAGGGTGTCAAGATAGGGTAAAAGATGGGGTTCTAGAACTTCGTGAACATAACGCTGCGCGTTCATGTTACCTCTGATGAAGATTAAAGGTGACCTGGAACCATAAGCTATAGCACCCCAAACCGTAACTCCAACAGTGTGATGAACATGTCTTTCAACAAAAAACTGTGGATTCCTCCTTTCACCACGTCGCCTTCTAACCCTGGCACGACCATCGTGCATGCCTAAACAAAATCGAGACTCGTCACTAAAGACAATACTGTTCCATTTCCTGATCCCAGAGTGACCGTTGTCTGCACCACTCAAGGCGATTACGTCGGTGTTCTCGAGTTAAAGGGAGGACCCAGTGTGGCCGGTATGAAAACAAGCCAAAACTTCTCATTCGTCGGTAAACACTTCGCATGCCAATAGATCTTCCATGTTCTGCAAACCATTCATTTGCAATGGACCTGGTAGTGGAGAAACGGACCCTTAAGGCCAATAATCTAAGGCGGCGATCTTCACGGTCTGTTGTTCTACGGCGGCGTCCAGTGCCCCTTGCTCTTTGCGTACGGCCTTCTCGAAGCCATGCCTGACAATACCTAACCACAGTGTCTACACTTCTTTGCACTCTAACTGCAATTGCCCAGCTCCCCAAGTCCCACTATACGGCCCCTATCAAACTCACTAAGTTGACGAAATCGTACAGGTCTCCGTACTCTAGGCATCGTAACCGATCGTAAAGGATGTCAAGAACCAAAATCCGCCAACGTTGATTCTTTACTGCGGCTGAAATATTCATTTTTAGAGCGTTAGTGAATTAAAAAAAAGCAGTATAAAAACCGGAATGTCCAACTGATAAGGCTGAAAATTTTTCACTTGTTATTTACAGTAAGATAAATACATTCACCAACTTTTATTAAAATAAAACCATTTAAGCTGGGTGTTCGGATTTATATGTCACTTAGTATAACTTCAGTTCGTGTCCCATCTTTCCAGTAATATTCCATGGTGGTTCCCTCTCGTCCCTTAACTCTGGTAGGGCAGTTTACATTCTTTACTCGTTTTATAACCAGTACTGAAGCTGTTCATCGTTTAGAATTGCATTTGTGAGTGATAAAAACGACTAATTTTATACTTTGTTGATCTTCATTTAGAGCTGCTCGTACATTTTTATAAATATATGAATGTGAATTTACAACTGGCATCATATACTTGCAATGTGCTTTGAAATTTAAATATTCATCTAAATATGCTCCCAAAAATTTAGATTTGTCATGGACCTAGACCTGTTTGTCATTTAACCTGATATTCATATTATCTAAGTTCTTTTGTACATTGTGAAATCTTACCACAGCAGTCTTCTCTGAGTTTAAAAATAGTTGGTTTTGTGCAAACCATTTTTCAAGATGTTTCAGTATGTCGTTAATTTTAGTGACCAGTACATTATCGTGAGGATCTGAAATTATAATTGAGGTAACGTCTGCATACAATATAAAATTTACTTGGCCATTGAACAGTTCACCCAGATTATTTATATACAGTATAAATAAAAGAGGTCCTAATCTATATCCTTGGGGAACTCCCATATCAATATCAACGCATGAAGACAGGACTTGCTTTATTTCTGTACCCTAATTGTGTAATAAAGAAACATGTTGTGACATATTTTCCAAAAAAGATTTGATCCATGTGAGAGATCTGTCAGTAATTCCGTAACCATGTAGTTTTTCAAAATATTTCACGATTGACACAGTCAATTGCTTCACTGAGATCACAAAAGATCTCAACAGGACACTCGATAGCCTCAATTGTTTTCCACAAAATGAATATTTATGTATAGCTGTAGTGGTGGATTTATTATTACAGAAACCATGTTGTTAATCAGCTAGTACGTAATTCTTGACAATGTGCGAATGTAACCCCTCTGAGAAACAGTGTTCAAATATCTTTAAAAAAAAAGCTCAGTTACTCGTCATTGTGATTATTCATATCTGAAGGGTGTCGCTTTTTAAATATTGGCACAACTTTGCCTTTCTTCAATACATCAGAAAACTTACCATTGCAAAAAGATAAATGTATTAAGAAAACAAGTGGTATGATTATATGTATTAATGCTCTTTTTACTACAATGGTGTAAGTCAAATACTACTTCTTCCAGCTAGCACCCGCATAGAAATCATTTCTGAAATATACTAAGTGACATATAAATCCGAACACCCAGTTTAAATGGTTTTATTTTAATAAAAGTTGGTGAATGTATTTATCTTACTGTAAATAACAAGTGAAAAAATTTTCAGCCTTATCAGTTGGACATTCCGGTTTTTATACTGCTTTTTTTAATTCACTAACGCTCTAAAAATGAATATTTCAGCCGCAGTAAAGAATCAACGTTGGCGGATTTTGGTTCTTGATATCCTTTACGATCGGTTACGATGCCTAGAGTACGGAGACCTGTACGATTTCGTCAACTTAGTGAGTTTGATAGGGGCCGTATAGTGGGACTTCGGGAAGCTGGACTTTCTTTTCGGGCAATTGCAGTTAGAGTGCAAAGAAGTGTAGACACTGTGGTTAGGTGTTGTCAGGCATGGCTTCGAGAAGGCCGTACGCAAAGAGCAAGGGGCATTGGACGCCGCCGTAGAACAACAAACCGTGAAGATCGCCGCCTAAGATTATTGGCCTTAAGGGACCGTTTCTCCACTACCAGGTCCATTGCAAATTAATGGTTTGCAGAACACGGAAGACCTATTGGCATGCGAAGTGTTTACCGACGAATGAGAAGTTTTGGCTTGTTTTCATACCGGCCACACTGGGTCCTCCCTTTAACTCGAGAACACCGACGTAATCGCCTGACAACTGTCACTCTGGGATCAGGAATGGAACAGTATTGTCTTTAGTGACGAGTCTCGATTTTGTTTAGGCATGCACGATGGTCGTGCCAGGGTTAGAAGGCGACGTGGTGAAAGGAGGAATCCACAGTTTTTTGTTGAGACATGTTCATCACACTGTTGGAGTTATGGTTTGGGGTGCTATAGCTTATGGTTCCAGGTCCCCTTTAATCTTCATCAGAGGTAACATGAACGCGCAGCGTTATATCCACGAAGTTCTAGAACCCCATCTTTTACCCTATCTTGACACCCTGGCAGATCCAACTTTCCAACAAGATAATGCCCGACCACATGTTGCAAGAGTCACAATAGACTTCTTTCAACATAATGATGTCACATTGTTACCATGGCCACCAAGATCTCCCGACTTATCCCCAATTGAGCATGTCCTCCTCAGACTCTAGAAGCACTTCGAGAGGAGTTGGTGGTTGCCTGGAATGAGATACCACAGGAGGACATTGACCACCTGATCAGAAGCATGCCTAGGCGCGTTGGAGAATGCATAGCACATCAGAGTGCATCCACACATTATTAAAGGTCAAAGGGCTTTAAAGCAGTGCAATCATTTTGAAATTTTTATCATTTACTTATTATGCTTCATTAAGTACTTATACAAAATTTTATTAAAATAAAACCATTTAAACTGGGTGTTCGGATTTATATGTCACTTAGCATATAATCCTTTAAAAGTATGTATCAAAACAAAGAAATATAGTATGATAATTGCATCCTACGTCAAGCGACAAATAATACGATACGACTGCTGGGTATGCCTCTAAATAACTTCAACCTATGAACAGTGTAAATAAACAATGTTTTATCTGCGTGCAAAAACAATAGGTGTACCAATTTAACATTCGCAACTTGTAAATCACAATAACCATGATAATTTTACGCATTGATTACCATAAGGAATTAGCAAATATAGTCAAGCACAACCTGTTCCTTGGAATGTAACCTGAAACTTGAGCGAGGGCACAGACAGTATTGTCCAGCATGTTGACGAAATTCATAACGAATTTATCTACCTCCACTACATATACTAAGTGACATATAAATCCGAACACCCAGTTTAAATTGTTTTATTTTAATAAAATTTGTATAAGTACTTAATGAAGCATAATAAGTAAATGATAAAAATTTCAAAATGATTGCACTGCTTTAAAGCCCTTTGACCTTTAATAATGTGTGGATGCACACTGATGTGCTACGCATTCTCCAACGCGCCTAGGCATGCTTCTGATCAGGTGGTCAATGTCCTCCTGTGGTATCTCATTCCAGGCAACCACCAACTCCTCTCGAAGTGCTTCTAGAGTCTGAGGAGGACGTTGCAAATTGAGCAATCTCCTACCCATCATATCCCACACGTGCTCAATTGGGGATAAGTCGGGAGATCTTGGTGGCCATGGTAACAATGTGACATCATTATGTTGAAAGAAGTCTATTGTGACTCTTGCAACATGTGGTCGGGCATTATCTTGTTGGAAAGTTGGATCTGCCAGGGTGTCAAGATAGGGTAAAAGATGGGGTTCTAGAACTTCGTGGATATAACGCTGCGCGTACATGTTACCTCTGATGAAGATTAAAGGTAACCTGGAACCATGAGCTATAGCACCCCAAACCATAACTCCAACAGTGTGATGAACATGTCTTTCAACAAAAAACTGTGGATTCCTCCTTTCACCACGTCGTCTTCTAACCCTGGCACGACCATCGTGCATGCCTAAACAAAATCGAGACTCGTCACTAAAGACAATACTGTTCCATTCCTGATTCCATAGTGACCGTTGTCTGCACCACTCAAGGCGATTACGTCGGTGTTCTCGAGTTAAAGGGAGGACCCAGTGTGGCCGGTATGAAAACAAGCCAAAACTTCTCATTCGTCGGTAAACACTTCGCATGCCAATAGGTCTTCCGTGTTCTGCAAACCATTCATTTGCAATGGACCTGGTAGTGGAGAAACGGTCCCTTAAGGCCAATAATCTTAGGCGGCCATCTTCACGGTCTGTTGTTCTACGGCGGCGTCCAGTGCCCCTTGCTCTTTGCGTACGGCCTTCTCGAAGCCATGCCTGACAACACCTAACCACAGTGTCTACACTTCTTTGCACTCTAACTGCAATTGCCCGAAAAGAAAGTCCAGCTTCCCGAAGTCCCACTATACGGCCCCTATCAAACTCACTAAGTTGACGAAATCGTACAGGTCTCCGTACTCTAGGCATCGTAACCGATCGTAAAGGATGTCAAGAACCAAAATCCGCCAACGGTGATTCTTTACTGCGGCTGAAATATTCATTTTTAGAGCGTTAGTGAATTAAAAAAAAAGCAGTATAAAAAACCGGAATGTCCAACTGGTAAGGCTGAAAATTTTTTCACTTGTTATTTACAGTAAGATAAATACATTCACCAACTTTTATTAAAATAAAACCATTTAAACTGGGTGTTCCGATTTATATGTCACTTAGTATATATACGTAAATATGTAGGGTGCCCCGATTTTTGCTATAAAACCGCACCATCATAAAAATATTATCAACAGTGAGAAGAACACACACTACCCTGTCTGAAATATGCAGCCCAATGCTGATACGATTCACTAATAGGGTGCATTTGGAAAATGTTTAGCCAATATATCTAATAGACCGTCGATGTTTTCCCTTAATTCTGTGTTATGTAAAAACCTTAAAAACGTAAAAAAAACGACAAAATGTCATCTTACGGACTAGGTAGTTTCCAGTGTGTAAATAGTTCCTTCCACGTTTGCTCCCAATAAACGCTGTGAGCGCCATCTATGGGGAATGACTCAACGACACGACATGCATTGATGGTTGCAGAAAGCCGAGTAGTCTGTGTAGTGTTTATCTCTGTGAAGATGTGAAAGCCAGAAAGTTGGTTGAGTAGCGAGATCGTATCTGATTGATTATGTGTAAAAACCTACGTACACATAGCTAGAACAGTATACTGGATGTTCAAAAGACAAGGAATTTAGCTTCTTACCAAATTGTAGACGACACCTCCTTAATAGGGTATTCAACCAAATAGACGTTGAATTATAGAATTTCCCTCGTTATACTTATAGAATTTCCCTCCTGATACTTCAAGAACGATCAAGGTGTCGAAAAAAACGTAAAAGACCTTTTTATACCAAACTTCATTCTCTACAAAGAAATAGTACTGTTTTATACTTATCTGTTGACTATACGACAAATTTTTATAGAAGCAAAACGACAAAATTGTTGGCGACGCCTTCTTAACATGGTATTCAACCGAATACAAAAAACTGTAAAGAAGTCAGGTCACCTTCACGTATTTTTTATGCGACAGTGGGGAAAACAAAAAAACATATTTACCTATAATGTTTCCGCTTTTATGCGGCTTTGTGGGTGTTGTATCTATGGCGAATCTGGTTTTCTGCGTGTGCTTTTTGTCGACTGGCATAGGCGGCGGGCTGGGCGGGGAATAATCGGGGGGTGGTTCTTCCAGACGTTCCATTTTCTGGTCGCGCACGTCTCGGTAATCTTCCGTCCGGGAGCTTCTGTAACCGCTGTCATACCTAAATTAAAAATGGTGAATAAGTAAACTCAAAATTATAGTCTATGAGATATAGCTGGACCTTTGAGGGGACAAAATATGAATAATTAGCGAGACACGCGGTACTCGGCAAGGAAGTGTGCCAGTCAATCAGAAGAAAAAACTGATATTTTAAATGAGCTGCCAAATCTAAAGATTCCAAGCAATGGGTCCATTCATTTTCATTCTTTTGTTTATATAAACCTACCTTGAAAATTGGTTTGAAAAAATTCGTCTAAATCAACAGTACCCTATCGCACAAAAATTTGTTCTGGTGCACCACAGGGATCAGCGTTAGGACCCCTGTTCTTTTCATTATACAGGGTGTTTCAGTTTATTGTTGCATAACTTTAAGATTAGATAAAATTTTTAAAATTAATGCATAAAGTTTATATAAACATGGGTCGAAAAATGCGTGGCTTCCGAAATACAGGGTGTTTAAATTTACTTTCTAAAAGAGTTTTCTTTAAATATTTAGAACAATATTTGATCTATAACAGTGAAAATTGGTATACATCGGTTTTTTGGTAGGACAAAACGAACCATGGGCAAAGTTTTACTGTAGCCGCTAGAGGGCGCTCTCTACTGTACCTGTAGTGTATTAAAATGATCAAACATTTTTTCTTAGTGCAATTTTTTGCTTTTGAACAAAAAAACTGATTCTTCGCACTTTTCAACATAAAAAAGCTCTCTTGTGAGTTTTCGTTATAGTTAGCCGTTTTTGAGATATTTCGATTTTTAAGGTTCGATGCATTTTTAATTATTTATGGGAAAATAATTTTTTTTTTTACATTTTCGATTTGGGCATTACAAGTAATTAAGATGATCGTTTAGTTTGTGTTTTTAAACACAGCAATAATTCCTAACTTCAAATAAACACAAAAAAACAATATTAATTTGTTTAATTTTCCAATATTATTTTTAACAAATTAAATTAATTATTTACAACTAAAATGCTATTGGATAGTTAGGACAAACATACAAAATCTAAAGTAGTTGGTCGAAATGTAAACCCAATTGTTCAATACACAATTCACATCTACGAATGATCGAACGTGGTCTAGCATTATTCAAATAACGCCTTATTTCATCACATGCATTCCTGATTCTGTCTATTAGCATATCTCTTGTGGTTACACACTCTTGATTGGAGAATAAAAATGGCATTTTTATAAAACTTACAAAAAAACAGGTAAATAAATTAAATTTCGTGCATTCACAATTGCAAAAAAAACGTTTCAGACAACAAAATTAACTGTCAACTAATTGACTTTTAACCTTATTCTGCTTTCAATTTCAAAAATATTTGCAGGCTCAGCCTACTTCCAAAAATTATCGAGATACTGACTTTTTAAAGTTATTTTATCATAAATAATTAAAAATGCATCGAACCTTAAAAATCGACATCTCTCAAAAACGGCTAACTATAACGAAAATTCACAAGAGAGCTTTTTTATGTTGAAAAGTGCCAAGAATTAGTTTTTTTATTCAAAAAGCAAAAAATTGCACTAAGAAAAAATTGTCGGTCATTTTAATACACTACAGGTACAATAGAGAGCGCCCTCTAGCGGATACAGTAAAACTATGCCCATGGTTCGTTTTGTCGTACCAAAAAACCATTGTATGCCAATTTTCACTGTTATACATCAAATATTGTTCGAAATATTTAAGCAAACTATTTTAGAAAGTAAATTTAAACACCCTGTATTTCGGAAGCCACGCATTTTTCGACTCATGTTTATATAGACTTTATGCATTAATTTTAAAAGTTCTATCGAATCTTAAAGTTATGCAACAATAAACTGAAACACCCTGTATAAGTATCTCAGATTTATAGAGGTTAGGGCCTGCAGCATACAATTTTTGGCTGACATACTCAGATCTTCTATTCATTTAGGAGTAATGACTTGGAGACAGCTAATAATAAAATTGCTTGCCCAAATCGGCAAAAAGGCACTGACGCAGCCCTTTGCTGGAAAATTGATGGCTACGTTTTTTAGGGAATCAAGGATTCTTTCTCATAGAATATATTCCAAACGGGAGAACAATAGATGCGGACGTCTATGAGAACGTAACAAGATCAACCAAAAAAGACCCGATGGTTCCAATCGACAGGTGCGTCTGTTGCATAATAATGCACCGTGCATAAGGCCTCCAAAATTTGAACAATTGTGCAGGAATGCAACTTCGGCTCTTACAGTCCGGACTTGGCTCCGTCTGACTTTTATCCCTTTATATTACTGAAGAAGAATCGTCGAGAGAACAAGTGCGCAAGTGCATCGGTTTAGATTCAGATTATGTTGAAAGATAATATTATTTTGTTTCATGGCTATATGTAGATTTATTTTCTAGTAACCCTCGTATATGTGGACTGTGAATCAATTAAAAATATAGCTTACCTGCTCCTCTCCTCCGCCACCCTCTGCCGTTGCTTCTCGCTCTTCTTTCTCTGGGGCGGGGTAGGCACGATCACCTCCTTCCGCGGCGAAATGCTCCGCCCATAATCAGGGGTGGGGGAATGTCGTCTGTAGTCCGGAGATGGCGAATGCCTCACGCCGCGATAATTCGGGGAGTGGCGCGGCGAAGGAGGGGAATAACGGTAATCGGGCGATGGAGATTGACGTGGTGGGGGGTGGTGATCCGAAGCGTAGTGTGGGTGGTGACGATAAGGTGACGGAGAGGGAGAGATACGGTCAGAGGAGTAACGGTTGTCGTGGCGGCGTTCCGACCACTCGGAGATGCCTGCAAATAGATGTTTTAAGTTAGACATGGATATTCTATGAATACTGGCAGTTACAATTTACAGAATAATGCAGATACTGTAATTGACGGAGTTGAGTAAGCATGCATGATATCCCACCAACATCGTATATGACTGAATCTATTGTTTAATGGCAAGACGGCCATAGGAGATCGACAAACAAGTCGTGAGACTAGTGTCTTAGCACTTGTAGCAAACTCAGTTATTTATACAGGGTGATTTACAAGTCGTGACCAAAAATGAAACATATACATAACCGCATTTTAAGAGGGGTATTTTATGTAACATTTTAGTTTAGATTAGTCTCATTCTAGGATTTATGTTATACTTGGATGTTCCGCTAATACTGATGTTGTAAGGGCAGTGCTTTAATTGAACCAACTAATGAACCCATCACCACGAAGCAAGATTATCTGTGGAGGTGTGAAACAGCGTCTACAGAAAGCAGACCATCTATTAATCTGTCATGCATATGGAATCGTGCAAACATTAACCTTTGTAAAATACTGCATGATCCCTCTCCCTCTCTGGCTCCACTGGACTGTACACTCTCGTGCTATACGCATTTTGAGGAACTGCGTCAACAGTCGGTTGCGATTTGATGGTCACATTAAAGAAACTAGTTTTCGGCGGTGCGCTTTCCTCATCATCGTCGATGATAGAGTTGTTGGACGATTTCGAATCGCTACCGAAGTGATGCTCCAGCCATTTGGAGGTTTCTACCTTACGGGTCTCTTCTTCTTGGTCAAAATCCAGGGGTCTACGGGTTAAAGCATCTTTCCGATCCAGGGGCGACGCAACGCCGTTCTCTACACCTGGAGGGTGTCAAACGGGGTTGATAAGGTATCGTGACCTCGCGCGGTCTCATAAAACCCTTTTTAATTTTGATTTTGTTCGATCAGAAGGTGAAGATTCGTAGACTTTGAGACAATGTGATTGTTAGTTTGCAACAAAGCTTTTTCTGTTTAACAAATTTTTGATGCAATTGTAGCACATTCATATACTAAGTGACATATAAATCCGAACACCCAGTTTAAATGGTTTTATTTTAATAAAAGTTGGTGAATGTATTTACCTTACTGTAAATAACAAGTGAAAAAATTTTCAGCCTTATCAGTTGGACATTCCGGCTTTTATACTGCTTTTTTTTAATTCACTAACGCTCTAAAATTGAATATTTCAGCCGCAGTAAAGAATCAACGTTGGCGGATTTTGGTTCTTGACATCCTTTACGATCGGTTACGATGCCTAGAGTACGGAGACCTGTACGATTTCGTCAACTTAGTGAGTTTGATAGGGGTCGTATAGTGGGACTTCGGGAAGCTGGACTTTCTTTTCGGGCAATTGCAGTTAGAGTGCAAAGAAGTGTAGAGCAAGGGGCACTGGACGCCGCCGTAGAACAACAGACCGTGAAGATCGCCGCCTAAGATTATTGGCCTTAAGGGACCGTTTCTCCACTACCAGGTCCATTGCAAATGAATGGTTTGCAGAACACGGAAGACCAATTGGCATGCGAAGTGTTTACCGACGAATGAGAAGTTTTGGCTTGTTTTCATACCGGCCACACTGGGTCCTCCCTTTAACTCGAGAACACCGACGTAATCGCCTTGAGTGGTGCAGACAACGGTCACTCTTGGATCAAGAATGGAACAGTATTGTCTTTAGTGACGAGTCTCGATTTTGTTTAGGCATGCACGATGGTCGTGCCAGGGTTAGAAGGCGACGTGGCGAAAGGAGGAATCCATAGTTTTTTGTTGAAAGACATGTTCATCACACTGTTGGAGTTATGGTTTGGGGTGCTATAGCTTATGGTTCCAGGTCACCTTCAATCTTCATCAGAGGTAACATGAACGCGCAGCGTTATATCCACGAAGTTCTAGAACCCCATCTTTCACCCTATCTTGACACCCTGGCAGATCCAACTTTCCAACAAGATAATGCCCGACCACATGTTGCAAGAGTCACAATAGACTTCTTTCAACGTAATGATGTCACATTGTTACCATGGCCACCAAGATCTCCCGACTTATCCCCAATTGAGCACGTGTGGGATATGATGGGTAGGAGATTGCTCAATTTGCAACGTCCTCCTCAGACTCTAGAAGCACTTCGAGAGGAGTTGGTGGTTGCCTGGAATGAGATACCACAGGAGGACATTGACCACCTGATCAGAAGCATGCCTAGGCGCGTTGGAGAATGCGTAGCACATCAGGGTGCATCCACACATTATTAAAGGTCAAAGGGCTTTAAAGCAGTGCAATCATTTTGAAATTTTTATCATTTACTTATTATGCTTCATTAAGTACTTATACAAAATTTTATTAAAATAAAACCATTTAAACTGGGCGTTCGGATTTATATGTCACCTAGTATAATTTATAATGAAAAATGAATGCTCAGCGTATAGGTTGTTACAGCGCCATCTACGGGACACTAACCTTCCCAAATTATACAGGGTGTCTCAGGCGTGCAAGGACGGGGCATTGCTTCTAAACATGAGCTACACAAAAAACTATTAATGGATTATTATACGGGGTGTTAATTAAGTTGAGTTTTACAGACGATTCTTTCAGTAATTTAAAGAAAGAAAGTTCATATTCACACAGGTCCGCAGACATTCTCAGGATACAGGGTGTTAACGTTTGAAATAATGATTTTTCGTAAATTTCTTAAATATCCTTTATCTAATTTTGTTGTAATTTGGCGGTGGAATTTATAACATCAATGAGCTAATTTAGCCATTATTTGATTAAATTTATTAAGACCATTGGCGCATCGAGCGGGATCTGAACGAATATTTATGACAAAGAATGTACGTCACCGACTTTTGTGCAATTTTTATTATGTTATTTGGACTAACCAAATAGAAATACAACTTAAAGTTGAATTTTATTTAACTAACAAATTGTAAACAATAATCAAGGGCTGCCTTGGAAAACGATTGCAGCATTTAGTAAGCAGGGGTCCAGGCATAATTATGCAATTAAGGGGACTTTTTTTCTCGAAAACGAATCGACATACGAAAAACATTCAAGAGATGAAAAATCTGTATTTCTATTTGCTTAATCTAAAGAGTATAATAAAAATTGCACGAAAGTGAGCGGCGAATATTTTTTCTCACGAATATTCGTTCAGATCCCGCTTGAGATACTATCGGAATTAATAAATTTAATCAAGCTAGGGCTTAATTACCTCCTTGATGTTATCAATACCAACGCCCAATTACAACAAAATTAGGTAAAAGATATTTAAGATATTCAAGAAAAAACCTTTTTTTTTAAATTTTAACACCCTGTATCTTGAGAACGAATAATTTGCGGACCTTATATGAACTTTTTATCTTAAAATTGCTCAAAGAAGCGTGTGTTAAATTCATAGTGCATACCTAATTAACACCCTGTACGAGTATTAACAAAAAACTCATGAAAATGGGGATCCGAGAGTGTAAAAATGTACATGGTGTTCCATTTAATTATTTTTGTGAAACATTAGTTTTTCCGTTTTCAACCACTCTGTAGTGATCATCCAAAAAGTTTGAAAAGTGGATACAGTAGTCTGAACATTTTTGGCTCAAAATTCATACTGTAACTGTCACCATAGCAGATATACAGGCTGTCAAACTTTGATATTTTTTTGGTATAAGAGATCAATACAGGGTGTCCGCAAAGTTGGGGTTTTCCTTTACACGACGTGTAGATCTTGAAAACATAAGCAATTTTTCTTAGTACCATGTACACCAATGTCTTAAGGGAACCGAGATAAAGGGCTCTGCAACATCAAAAATATCTGAATACCGTCCTGTAGCCGCGACATCACTGACTGGTACAAGGTCACTGTCTCAACCCGACGACAGAACTGGGTCGGGGTCAGTGTGTCAGGTCAGTATTCAACCTTCAACCGACGGTTACGGTCACGCGTGTAGAGGTAATCGCGTAGACGAGAATCCCTCAACAAGCACTAGAGACGTGGCTAGAGAAGTGCAAGTATCAAAAACTAAAGTGTTGCAAACACTGCGTGAAGAGGGGCTGTATCCGTTTCACGTCCAACGTGTACAAGCCCTTCACCTGACGATTTTCCAGCAAGAGTGCGGTTTTGTGAGTGGTTGTTGCATCAACTTGACAATAATCCGGACTTTTTGAAGTGCATATTGATGACAGACGAATCTACGTTCACGCGTAATGGGGTGAATAACTTTCGCAACACTCATGTTTGGTCAGTAGAAAATCCGCCAGCTGTCCGTCGGGCACATTTTCAACAAACATTTTCGGTGAATGTTTGGGCTGGCATGGTGAACGGATCATTGGACCATTTATTCTCCCAAATCGATTGGACGGGATGCAATACCTAGACTTTTTACGCAACATTTTGCCTTCCTTGTTAGAAGATGTGCCATTAAGTGTAAGACAATCAATGTGGTTTCTGCGTCTGCTCGGTAGCGCATCAGCTGATTTCATTTTCTGTTGGAGCGGTATGATTTCTGGCAGAGACGTACTTAGCCCTTCTCGTCAACTGGAGGGTGAGTACTTTTTCCTTTATTTTTTTTACTTGGTCGCCCTCGTTTCACTACACATTACCTTTGTTATTTCAAGGGTAGTTGTTTCTGAAAGGGAAAACCCCAACTTTGCGGACACCCTGTATTGGTCTTTTAAAAGGACCTATCCGAATGTGTGATAAAGAGTAAGACATTCTATTTGAGAAAAATCAACTTTGATATGTGGGACATGATAATTGTGAATAATAAAGTAATCTGCCTCCAGGTACCAGTTACAATAATCCGTAAATAATCTTCTTTGAATAGTTTTTACTTAGGAGCAATACTTCGTCCTCGCACGGTTGGGACACCCTGTAAATAATACAATTCTGACATGACGCTGTATAGCATCAAGTTCTTCATCTTCAGGTAGAATACGTTAATCAATGCCTTAACGTATTCAGATGATTAAATTAAAACACAAAAACGTTTTCACTAAAAATTTGTATT